ATTATAAATTATAATATTAAATACTATATATGTATTTAGAAACATGTTTGAAAAGTGAAGAGAACATTTCAACTTACTCGTCAACAATCAAATATTTGTTACCATCCGAAGCCGCACATTTACCACGATAACTGAATTGTGAACCCTTTATATGAATAGACTGTTGATAGCAAGATAGGAACCATGAACCTTCCCAACGTGCGGGAAAAGTGCAATTTGTTGGAACTGCCAATGAAAATATAAAATAATATTTAGTAAAAACTTACGTATATGTTAAAAACAGTAATCAATATGCATTATCGGAAGTTTTATTTAAATTAGGATTGGAATTTTCCGTTATTCTAGAACGCGAAACAATATTTTTTATAAATATACAGGCAATATTCTGACCACTGTCAATTAAGAAACAAAAACCGATAAATCACAAACTGGCTCGACGATAATAAAATCACTAAAATATTGACAGTTCATAAAGATCAGACAGATTAATTTTTTATACAAATACTATACAGGGGATTCTATTCTAACCTCTCTGCATTCTTAACAAGTATTTTTTTAAATGTGAAGTTGGAATTTTCCTTTATTCTAAAACGCAAAATGATATTTTTTATAAACCTATGTACATTTGACGATCTGAAAAACAGGAAATTACGAGATTAGTAATAGATAGTTTATCTCTAATCTTCACTATGCCTTATAACGTTTACATTTATTACAATATAATACGCATTACTCTTCAATATATTTGATTCACGGTCTTGCTGGAATAACAGACAAAAAAGATAAAAAAAAACCATACGATTACCATTAAAGCAAAAATCAATCCTCTGAGTTAAAAGGCGGTGAGTTTTCATTTTTGTGATGATCTCCTAAGCGATGAAGTAACAGAACACATCCTATTTCGGTGGGTAACAACCCTAAATTATGTATATCTTTATATTATATATAAAAATCACGTGTCACGTTGTTTGTCCGCGATGGACTCCTAAACTACTGAACCGATTTTAGTAAAATTTAGCACACTGTGTTCAGTTCGAACCAACGAAGATAGGATAGTAAAAACAATTCAAAATTAAAAAATACAGTGAAAGCCCCATTAAGTGGACGCTTTATTAAGCGGACATCTCCATTAACCAAGCACATTGTTAATGTTTATTAAAATCTATTAAGCGGACAACTCTATAATTTTTTTCAATGAAATTTATTTGTATGAATATATTCAMAATTAATCCTCAAGTACAATCCCTTGGATTCTTATACCGACAAAACGTTTTCGCCTTTATTCGTACATAAAATTTTCACTATATTGAATAGTTTATTATATGAATATAAAATGTATACCACAGTAACGCGTGRCCGGATCCCCTAATATATAATAAAATATCGTGATTTTAATAAAATATTTGCGTCTTCCCTGCTTTTATAGATCTATTAATTTTTATAAGCATTAAGGAAAGTTGAAAGAATTTTCTTCTAAAAAATATGTTTTTTTGCTACGTGATTTACTTAGAATCTGATAAAAAATTTACCCAGTCGTTAAAAATTTTGCAGACTTTACTTTAACGCGAACCAAAGTTATGAAGTTATCGAAAACTTGCATACCTGTTAATGACGATAACGTCGAAACAGCTGAAGAAACAATGCTTGAAAATTACATCAGAAAGAAAGCAGAGGATCACAACATATCATATTTGTGATATAAAGCGTGTCAATGATGAACTCGTACCAATAGACCCGAATCGTTTGGTTTCGAGTAAAAGAAACAAACTAAACCCTTAACAACGTATTAGTTGAGAAGCCTGCATTTATCACACCAAACATTACAGGTAACGAGACGAGGATTTATGTACTTTTCTACGAAAGTGTATGGAAAACTAGATAAACGTTTCCAAGATCTAATCAAGATTTATATTCAAAAAAATTTTTGAGGGTCCAATTCAAAAGATCGAGGTTTGAAGTATTGCAATAACAACTTTCACCACTCGGTAGACATTATACCTTAATTACGACAGACTGTTATGAAAATGTTTCTTATAAATAACCAATAACCTCAATAGAGAAAGTGTGGAAATTCCGAACTTAATAAAATAGCGCTTTTTATTAAAAAAAAAATCTTTAAATTGCAGCCTATGGCTTGAATTCGACAACAAATTTTCGATTTTCAACTCCAGTCTTCAATAGAAATATTCTATTTAATTATAAACTCATAAAAAATATTTACAATATTATACATGGCACCCTATATGTCGTAAATGCATATGTGCCAAGCCAGAACAACGGAAATTTTGTCGAAAATTATGCAATCATAATGAACATGCATTTATAATTTTACATATTGTATATACCCGATAATCACATTAGTATTCAACACACAAGTAGATAAATACACATGTAAGGAGCGACATATATAATATATCTAACAACAATGCATAATTAAGCCTTCATTTCGTACAAAAGATTTGTGGCTTTTTAATTTCTGTAAATTGTTCGGATTAGTGGCATGCAACCACCCTGGGCACGAGTGTGTGAAAAGAAATGGAAAGTTAARGAAAACGAAAGCGTTATGTAGTGTCAACCGTGGACAAAACGAAACCTACGACGCAACAAAGCGTAAATGCTTATGAAAATGCAACCATATCAGAGAGTTCAGACGCGTTTAAAGAATATAAAAAAGTAACAATTACCTACTGAGCGTCTCCCTTACCGTCAACCGTTGAAGGCATTGACAACATATTTATATGCACGGTGCACCGAGCGCTGCTGAAATGCACAGCCGAACTTATTCAAACATACAAATACATATCTAGATATCTACMAGTATATGCACGACAACTGGAGTACCCACTTCGACTAATAGATACTCCGAGACAGGAAAGAAATGCCTGCACTTCAGTGTAATTTTTTATTACATTTTACATACGTTTTGTAAACGCCTCAAATATGTTGCATACATACATATACGTTTGAGTTAACTTTTATGTAGACCGTAGTATGCACTTAGGGGTGACTTGACCGCTGTGTGCTCAGCACACTTACCCTATATCGGAGGCACAGTCGACACTGCTGTGAACACTAAATATAGTATGTGCCACTTTCCGGGTATTCGCCATGAGGCACAAAAGGCGAGACTCTCTTCAACGAGATGTGACAATAAAATACTTTTAAAGCAATGATGCAAACAAATTCTGCAATATAGCTTAATAACAAGTTAGATTCGGCATTCACCATAATTGTATTGTATAATTGTATAAATTCAAAAAATAAAAATTAAATATTGAAATATAGTATATATATATATATATATACATATACAAGTACATATATCACACACAACTAATGTGTACTGATATTAAACCAAAAATAATATAGACTAATAAATTCCTAAAACAGACAAGTGTCATAGCGACAAAAATTAAAATGGTTGAAAAATTTACATTGGCCATACATAAATATTTAGCATAGAAGACAATATATAGTTTTATGACCAAATTTTTTCCGTAAAGCGATAAAATATATAAAATTTACCAAAAGATACATAAAACAATTTTTTATAACAAGTAAGAAAGGGCTAAGTTCGGGTGTAACCGAATATTTTATACTCTTACAACTTGCAAGAATCAAAGCCAGGGAAATACTTTGAGATGTAAAACCAATCAATAGAGTAAAGTCAGACGGATGTCCGAAAATCCTGATATTAGTTATATATTGGCTAGGCCAAGTTTTCGCTCACATTTATCTACTTTAGGCATAAAGATACACCGTTATTAGTAAAACACGCTCTCTTATTTTTAATTACCTAGGGACTCGAACAGTTTTTATTGGATTTAAATAATTTTTGATCACAAGCTGACGCACGTCTCTTATACACATCTATAACTCAAGCTATAGGTACCGGGGTCTAAATATTCGGTACCTAGGGACTCGAACAGTTTTTATTGGATTTAAATAATTTTTGATCACAAGCTGACGCACACTAAAGACATTATTCGTGCAAAGTTTCATCCCGTATATTGGTTGCTTCTTGATTTGTGTACTGGAAACTGAACGAATCAAGTGGAATTTAAAATAGTGTTCCATGAGAAATAGGCGTGGTTGGTGTCCGATTTCGTCAATTTTCACAATGTAACATAAGAATGTGAGAAGAATATTAAGTACTAAATTTTGTCGAAATCGGTTTTTCGGGTGCCGAGATATGAGATCTTGCCATCGTCCGATTTTCACAAGGGCTCCCATAAAGCTTTCTCATGTCATCTTGGTGGTAAAATTTAATGTCTCTGGCTTACTTAGTATTTGTTTTATCACGGTTTCAGTAGTTTTTAACAGTACCGTTATATGGGGTGTCAGCGGGGTTATCCATTTTCACACTGTCGATATAAGTTTTTATAAGATTTATACTCAGCAAATTTGGTTATTAAAGCTTAAGTGGTTTAGAAGATATCTGCATTAAACWGGTTAGATGGCGGRCCCACTCCCACTTTTTCAAAAATKTACAAATTTTCCCCCACAGGTCCCCCTTGATTCTCTGTACCAAATTACAGCTTTATGTCTTAATTTAGTGCTTAGATATGGCACCTTATATGTTTTCGGTTAGGGACGATTTTTTTGCATTGAGGAACCCACATACCATAGTTGCATCGAGATATCTCAATTTTTACTCAAGTTACAACTTACACAGACGGACGGACAGGCAAACGGTCAACCGGATGTCAACTTTTCTCGTCATCCTGATCATTTATTTTATATATATGTATATAACCCTATATCTATCTAGCTTAGTTTTAGGTGATACGTACAACCGTTAGGTGAATAAAACTATAATACTCTCTAGCAACTGGTTGCAAGAGTATAACAATATTGGGGTGCATGGCTCTACTAGAAAATATTTAAAAAACTTTTTAATTATCTAATTAATTATTATGAATTTTTAGTAACAAGCTCTAGAAAATAATTATATTAGAAAGTGTTTTCTGTTTTTATAACTATTTTTTTTAACTATTATTTCAAAAAGAAAAAACCAAGTCATATAATATACACTGACCATCTGATCGTCCTGTCCAGCAACTGGCCGGCGCAGTTAAACTCAGCATAAATAGTGATAAAAGCATAAGATTAGTCGGCCAAGGCGGCACACCCGTTAATGCCAAAGAGCAAATATTTGTTCGCATCAGCAGTGAAGACGAGGAAAAGAAATTGAATCGTTGTGCTGGATGCCGATGTTCTGGGCTTGCCACTCGTCTATCACTATGTCCTGCTAATACGCACATTTCTCTTTTATCTACTGTTTCTGCCTGAACAGCATCAACATCCACCTCCGCATCCGCATCCGTTTGATCAGCAACCATACAAATATCACTATTTTCCTTAAAGCACCTGCAGTCAAATGTTGTTGTCGTTGTTTGCGAATTTCCTGATGCTGAGGCTGCAAGACTGCGAAGCACAACTTGTTTGTAGGCGATCCCGTGCCTCAATTGATTTCTTCTTGCATCGATTACAGAGGCGAGAAAAGCAAAAGCCCGCTCAATGCCCACTGTCAGCGAGTTCGAAGTGGGTCGTGAAAATATTCTATGACGCCATTGTGTTTGCGCTTGAAGCGCTGAGAAATTATACCAATCAGTGCTTGGGCGTCGTTCCAACGGCAGCTCATTGCGTAGCTGCGCACCAGCAAATACATTTCCTAATCTATTCTCTTCCTCAATTGGCATAACTAATTGTCTTTTGTTACTTAAACTAAAATTACCCGCTAGGCAAATGGGTTTTGTTGGTGTCTTTACTGTGCTAGACTTCGTGTGTGATTTGGGTAATGTTGACGATATCGCCGTGGGTGATAGTCTTTCCTGTGAGCCAGATTTAATATCATCCGAATCGCTAAGCACAGAGTCTGAGCTTTCAACTGCATTTAGTGTGGCGCTCATTATGCCCCGGTCAAATGCTGATTCCAACGTTAATCCGAGTTCTGACTCATTTGCTAATTGTGTTTGTGGTGCTGTTGCAAAATCGTCACCTATTCTCTTCAATCTTCTGGATGTCTTGACTTGCGTCGCTAAATTTACCGTAAAGTCGCGTGCATATTGCGACTGGCGACGTTCTCGTACTTCTGTGACAGACGCTGGCCTCATCATGTGGTTATCGTCGTCATCGTTGTCGTCGTCCCTCTTGCGGCTTGGCAGTTGGGACATCACATGTTTGCGATAATTTTTATGTTCACGTTGACAGCAATTGCTTCTCAGATTCGCACTCATGCTGTCGCCCCTTGTGACAACTTGCGTTTCACTGTCACCGTGGCTATAATTGTGCCTACACCGCTGTCTCCGGCCCATGTCGATTGCAATGGGATCGTTGCAGCTACAGTTTTTACTGTTGCTGCTGCTGCCGTTGTTGCAGTTGTTGTCGTCCTCCTGATCACTGTCTACCACATCCACGCATCCCAATGTAGTTTCTGTTGCTTTTATCTTTGTCTTTGTTTTTGTTGTTGTGCATTCTGCATGAGGAACATTTTGATTCGAATTCGAGCTAGGCGGTGAGTACTTTATTGTCGCCCTCATTGGAATAGTTGTTGTTGGTGCTGAACTGTTGCTGCCACTACTGCTGCTTCTTCTACGTCTGCCTTCCGCCGTCCCGAACTGCAATGGGAAAAAAGAAATGCAACGTGAAATAAGGCTAATGAGAAATCTTATAGAGTAATATGTTTTTTATGTTCACACATATGTAGGTGTAATTAAATTACAAGCTCTTATGTGTGTGTGTAATTGCATTCCGTTAAAAAAGTCGTCTGCTGCAGTACGGATATTGTATCTTTGCTTTACATATGTATATATTCCTTTTTATAACATTTTAATTACCGCTAATAAAAATATGTTTGTATCCGGAAATGCAATTAAAAGGAGTGATATATCCACAAGTACTCAGTGCCGTGTTCTTTATACACACATACATATGTATGTCTGCTTACGCGTTGTAATTTATAAGGATGCATATTAAATACCTATGTCCTCCCACACATGTTTCTACCCCAAGGGACTAATTTAGACATTATGCAAAGAAATGCGCTAAGTATTTTCCTCCCCTGAGCGGCAATATGTTTTAATTGGGCCGTAAAAGTGGCTTTAACCGCTCCCGCACAATTCTTTAGTGAGATGCTATAATCTTATTGTTTCTATCTTATCTTGGATTTCCGCCTTATGTTGTTATAAATAAAACCGGTATAAATTCCAGTACAGTACTTTTCACCTTATTACCCTTGTAATCGTCTTAACCTATTAAAAAATACTTAACCATTCAATTAACAAAATTTATATTGCGCAAATTACATTTCCTTTCAATTTGTTACAACATCTTATACTGCTACTTAAGAATGTTTTCAAAGCTGAAAAATCGAATAACCTATGAATGACTAGACGAATTTGGAATTCTCACTTTCTAATCATATACTTCAATCAAATCACGTCTTACATTTTCCAAGAGTAATTACTAGTTCAGAATGTTTTGAATATTCACTTCATAATGCTTATAATAAGAGATTATATGAAAATATTTCAGATTAGATATTCAACTAAACCTTACAAATTGTAACCGCTTTTTAAAGAGATTTAAAGGACACACAGGAAAAAAATTATTTTCTAACTTAGCCATTTCCTAACTTATTAAAAAAAATAAGTTCTCGATTATTGCAGTGATCTCAGTCTATACGGTGCACCTCGATTGCTAAACAAATTTAAACTTAAAAAAAATGCCAGGCTTTGAAAATTTTGAATTTGGCTATAATACACTAAACAAATATAAAAGATTCCTTGCAAGAATCAGCCAATTTGTATGGTAGCTATATGCTATAGCAATTGAATCTGAGCAATTTTTCCGAAAATTGCATCATTTTCTTAGACAATAACTCGTTACAAATTCCTAGAAGATACATATGTATCTCCTCAAATGAAAAAGTTTAACATTTTGTTACGATATTTCAGCTATAGTGATCCGATCTGAACATTCCTYTGGAGATTGCTTCCTTGGCTTAGGAAAACTTATGCCGAATTTCGTGAACATATCTCATAAAATAAAAAAGTTTTCATTAAAAGTCTTTACGCTGATTATTTATATATATATTTTATAGGGTTTGCAATATTTGCACAGATATTCCTTTAGTCTTACAGAAGGTCCTGAAGGACAGCTTTTTTGCAAAATCACGGTCGATTTTAAAATATATGTATATATAATATGAATGGATCATATCAGTGTGTTAGGCCACAAGATGGAGCTGCAGAGCTTAATCGAGCAGATACAATCTTCTATGAGAGTGTACAGCTGCTGGCGTACACCGATGATATTGATATCATTGGCCTCAACATCCGCGCCATTAGTTCTGCTTTCTCCAGACTGGTTGAGGAAGCGAAGCAAATAGGTCGAGTAGTGAACCAGTTGGCTCCCACGTCACAATTGGCAGTCATAAATTCGAAATTCTAGATACTTTCGTCTATCTTGGAACCAGTATTAAGCCAATAACAATTTCAACCTAGAAACGCAGAAGAAAACTTGCCATCAGGTAATAATTCGGACTAAGTAGACAATTGGGAAGTAAAGTCCTCTCTAACCGAACAAAAACTAAACTCTAAGAGTCACTTAGTATTACTGTCCTGCTATATGGTGCAGAGGCATAGACGATGAGAATATCTGATGAGTTTTTGAGAGAAAAGTTCTTTTATGGCCTTTTGCGAATTGACAATAGCGCATTCGATGGAACGGTGAGGTGTACGAGTTATGCGACGACACTAACGTAGTTCAGCGAATTAAGAGACAGCGGGTGCGCTGGCTAGGTCATTTCGTCCGAATGGATGAAAACAATCCAGCTCTGAAAGTATTCGACGCAGTACCGTCGGGGGAGCAGTGGTAGAGAAAGACTTTCACTCCGTTGGAAAGACCAGGTAGTGAAGGACCTGACTACACTCCAATTACGTATAATTTATTTCAACGGATAAGAATTTGTGAAAATGTGGATTTACGAAATCAATAAAAAATCTAGATTACCAATTTAACTATTCCATTATATTATCATTATTAATAATTTGCTAGGTATATACAATATGTATAATAACACCATCTGGCTGTATAACTGCAATCATATAGATTTTGGTAGCAAACTAGAATCAATATTTTTAATATGTTTCCAAAATACAAAAAAAAAAACAAGTTTACGTTACCTTATCGAAATCACAATTACACAAAATAAATATTTAAAAAACTTTTTTCAATATCCAAACTGACTGTGTTGATGCTTTGAAGACTTGTAAACGATTGCCAGCACGACCAGTGAAAAACTTCGCCTAGAACTAGCAAACTGCTGAGCTAGGGCAACACTAACACCCACTCTAAAACACTAATCAGCCCTAGCGGTGATTTGTACATACATATACATACATTTATGCATACATAAATTCAATTTTAACTCATAATTTAGCTATATATTAAGAATATAAGACATACATTAATAAAATGATAAGTCAAAGCTTTCTATATTTGCTCCATTTCTAATCTCTTCGAATAAATTATGTATGGAAGAAATGCGGCTGCGCTTGTGCGCCCCACATGCATGTGTAGGTGTATAGGGTAAATTTATTATTAATTATATACTGATTATTCCGCCTATTTTAAAAATAATTTTATATAAATGATATAATAAAGACAAACGATCAACATTAATTTTATTGCGCTACAATAATTGACTACAGAGAATATGCTCTTTCATATTTTCGAAAGATTTATGTTATGATTTAATTCTTATTTTTATTCTCTTAACTCTAGAAGTCGAAAAAATAAATTGCCTATAAATTTAAGAAAGCATTTATTCACGCAAATATAAATTAAATTATTTGACGGGAAGAAATTATCTCTTCTCACTAATTTCAACTCTAATTCTCGCTCTAGGGATTCCTTATCACTGCTACATACTTTGTAGGCTGAGTTTTATGGCAAGTTAAATAAAGTCCACCTATAGTATGACGACTTTTTAACTTTCGGGGCGAGGAAACAAAAACTTGAAGTAATGGAGTTGTATTAAAAAAAGTATATATATGTATATGCTTGCTTAAATATGTGCATTAAATCAACCTGCAATATCATACTTTCCACAGTATTTGTCCATGAGCTGAAGAAGACGATCACTTGCATAAAATTCTGAGAAAGCTTCTCTCGACTTGAATCTTTCTACAAGAATTCAACCACCTCACGTGCAACTCCATTACATAAATTATATTATATCTAGCACACTATAGCATTATTCCTTTCATATGCATATCATATACTATACATACATATGTATGCGGTTTTTTAGACTTATTAACTAAATTCTTCTCAAATTTTGAAGTTATTTCTTTTACGTTGCGTGAGAGTGTGTTAGAACTTCGTCCAAGCAACTATGATGTGTCATTATCCGTTATTTATTGTTTTTATATTCAAAAATGACACATTCAAATGCATACCTATATAAATATTATTATATATTAGGGAGGTCGATTAAATTGGGCGAAATTGCTTTTGTTGAAATTTCAAAAATGCTTTATTGTATCTTAAAAAAAATAAAAATAAATATCGAAAAATACAAATGAATTTTTCGAGAAGTAAGAATTAATTACTTCATTTTTCATTAAAAAATACTAAAATGATTGAATTCAATTAATTTTTTTTGAACAAATTTTTTGAGCTTAGATATTAAAATGTGTAATGTTAAATTCGTTATGACCAATTTTTTAAAAATAGTATTTAAAAATTTACAAATAATCCTGTACAACACTCGACTAGGTATTGGACAATATTTTTGGAGAGATTGAATCATAAGTAAAAACTTAACTTTCCCGTTTGCGAAGTTAGCCCTCAAAAAAGTAATATTTGCCTTAAAAATTCCAAATAAGGCTTACTTGATTATTAATTATGGTAAGTGATTACTGAGAAATTCAAAAAAAACTTAACTTTTCTAAAACTAAAATTCCAACGAATAATAGAGCTTAGAGGATTCTCTAAGGAAGTATAAGCTTCAAGTAATTTCTCACAAGTTGTTTTTACTAAATTAAAATACGTTTACTTCTACAAAAAACTTTCTTGATTTTAACAATAAATATTATATAGTAAAAATAATTATTTCTGTTTTTATTCCTTTAATAGCTACTGTATATCCAATAATGCTTAGAAGGTACTCTCATATAACAAACAAAAACTAATAAAGTATTAATAAAATTCATAATTTTTATCAAAAAATTCATGATTTGTTAACCGTAAATTATATTATAAAAATTATTCCTCGACCACCCTAATACAAAGTGGTGAAAATGCATACATATTAACGAGTTTTACTCTGTAGGTGTAAAAGTATGTTCATCCGTCTGCATTGTTGCATGCTGAGAGGAACAAGAACCAAGCAAGTTGAGGCGACTACGCTATAAATGATATTACGACTGTGGTATACGAACTATAAGAACACACGCACACACACACACACGAATGCCAAACAGGCTTAAGACCACAACTTTATGTAAATAAGACTACCGTGTCACTGGCACTGGATGAGGTATAGTATGTATAAATTTATATTAAAAAAATAACTTACAAAATTATACGAGTAATTTAAGTTTCGTTTTATTTTTTTTTTTTTCTGTAGAGGCAACGTTGGTAGAACAGAAGACGCCTCAGGGCGCCTTAACACACCTGACATGGTCTCTATATTTATGCATAGATATCTTCTATCTGAATATGTATTTATTATATGTGACTCCATTTAAAGGTGGACTTTTATCTCCATATCTCCACATTATAAATATATGTATATACATACAATCTACGTGTGCGTTTATGCGCGCGTGTGTGTGGGCACATAACTTCGAAGGAGCGGAGGGTTGATAAATTTTTTAATTTATGCAGACATCTTGCAGTGCACTAAATAGTAGCCTGGCATAGTGCGCCTACTGCCACTAAACCATTTTATTTTTCATGCATTCTGCCTGTCRAAAGGTAGAAGATATGCCATAAATATGCATTTGGGAGGGCAGCTACGCGAACAAGGCATTTTTAGTTCTTGCACGAATAGCGGGTCTCTTTAGATATCTCTATATGACGAACAAACAGACAAGAGAATTATAGAAAATATACTTTATTAAGTAAGGAATTTATTTCATTTACGCGGGGATTAAAATAACTTTAATCAATGCCCTAATTTCGAAAATCATTTGCTCTTTGAGAAAGCACTAGAAATTTCAGTTATAGTATGTCCACAAATATGTAGCTTTGTGTGTGTATTATGTACACATTTACTTGTGCAAGTATACTTAAATAATCTTCTTACTTGCCTTCGTTATTTCGAAAACCATGAAAGTTGTTTTTTAATTTTTAAATAGATTGTAACGAAATCATGCCTCTACTTTGTGTTCATTTGCAGTGAAAACATTGTTACTGAAATTACTTACTTTTAGATGGTCGATAAATAATTTTTGGGCAATTGTGATTATGCTCGATAAACTGTAATTTTTATAGGACTATGCAACTACAACATTTCCTCCATACAAATTTTACGGAACCATTACTTTTCATCTTGGTTTCGTCAACAGGTCGATTTTGACAATTGAAATTTTTAATGGGACCACTTAATAGGCCCTATTTAAGTAGGTGAATAAATTTGTAGCTCTAGAATGGCTCAAATTCCTTTTGCGAAACTTCGCTGAGGTACCATTTTTACATTTATTACGAAAGTTTGTTAAAGAAAATAAAACCATTTTCGAATAGTAATCATGCCTCGGCAAGAGAAAATTCAGATATGAAAAAGCTTCTACTGGTGATTTAGTCCTTGGTACACTGCTGAAAGTTTTATAAACGCCTCAAATAAGTGAAGCAACGAAAAGCTTTGGCAAACATTTGCTAGTAAGCATAAACTGATCAAAAAAATTATTCATTAATTCAAAACATTTCGTCTAAGATTTTATGAAAAAATCAATATTTATATAATTTTTCAATTATAGTTTTATTCTCAAATAATTATACTGTAAACCAAATAAACCGATCAAAACAAAGGTTACATAAATTTACAACGTGCTGCAAATAAGTGAATATGATCAAAACGTGCTACGTACTAAAACTCCTCATTGTACTGATAAAAGAAAAAAAATACCTGAAATCAAAGGTCAAAATATGTTTTAGGCAAATCTCAACGAAATGGTAAGTTTAATCAAAAATTGCTTTGAACAAAAAATGTGGGTCATAAAATTTTAAATATACCTATTGGTATTGAAGTTGAAGTTGTAAAAACCACGCTAAGTACACTATCTCGGGATGTGGAAACGTCTAGAAACATTAGGCCTTAAGTAAAAATTATAAATTTAAATTAATTTTCGTCCATTTCGTTTTAGAAAAAATATATTATTATTGGCTTTCAACTTTTACATTTATGTAACTTTTGTCATACATGTTTCTTTTCTAATTTGATTGGAGGATGAAGTCATGTGTAGAAGTTCACGCAAGTAAGGAAAGTTCTCTGATCGCCATTCACTTGGGAGAGGCCAGAAACGATTCTTTTACATATGACTCATGCAGCTCACGACTTCCGGTCCTTGACCAAGTATCCTCTGGGTAGCCTAAGAATATCGGTTTGAAGGCGAGCTAAAGTGAGAAGGCGAAACATTCCCTGCATAGGGTTGTGCGCTGGGTTTGGGACCCGCCACGTAAAAAAACCACCCCAATGAAAACGCAACACTCACAATTCCCGTCCTGCTATATGGTGCAGAGGCTTGGACGATGTCAACAACGGATGAGTGGACGTTGCGAGTTTTCGAGAGAAATAGTTCAGCGAATTAAAAGACAGCGGCTACGCTGGCTAGGTCATGTTGTCCGGATGGACGAAAACACTCCAGCTCTGAAAGTATTCGACGCTCTACCTGCCCGCTCCGTTGGAAGGATCAAGTGGAGAAGAACCTGGCTTCACTTGGAATATCTAATTAGCGCCACGTAGCGAAAAGAAGAAACGACTGGCGCGCGGTTGTTAACTCAGCTATAATCGCGTAAGCGGTGACTACGCCAATCAAGAAGAGAATTTGATCGGACTGAAAATTAAGAAGGTCAAAAAGCCCATTGACAATTAAAATTATTACTATAACCTTTATACAGAACTATAAAATGGTAATTGAAAACTTGTAGCATTATTTTAAAAAGGAAATGAGTAAGCAGGATATGCTAAAGAAATATATTATCGCAGAAAGTATTCAATTCCAGGAATAAGAGAACTYTGAACTTATTTGAACCCAGAAATTTAAAAAAATTTAGTTGAGAGAAAGTTTAAAAAAAAGAGAAGCAAGTACTGGTAATTCATTTTTAGATAATAACTTATATTCAAGTGTTGTGGATAAGAGCCGAAAATATGAAAAATTTTGCAAATATATTTAAATATATATTTGGCATGCATACATTTTCCTGAAAAACTGCTAATATATTATAAGACACTGTTACACGATTGCAATTTCTGTGTTTCTATTTCAACGTAGATGTCAAGGTTTATCTATGCACAATTACACCTTCTTTAGTCTGCTTTTTCATAAGAAAACTTTAGTAAATTATTGTATGGCACACATACATATTTACACTTTTAGGTCCACGTTTTGGCTTTTTTTTTACATTGCGGCCAATTATAAACAATTAATGCCTAAGCATATGCGCGAACATACATATGTATATATGTGTACATACATATGTTTGTATGTATGCACAGGACAGTGTTCAGCAACATAATCGCAATTATGATATACGTTACCGTCATCAGCATAATCTGATTGTAGTTATGATTATTATCGTTCTAAAAGCGGCAAAGTAGTGTTTGTACATAAGTGAAAGGTGTGTTTTTCCACAGCTACGCGGCGAATAGACGACTATACGATACTCTCTCGCAGATTCAGTAGCGAAGGACCTCCCGTAAAAGCTCGCCTTCAGAGCAAGGCCACAATGCCCAAAAGCGGTGCAGAGCTGTAAGAGCACAAATAGCAGCTGTAGCTATCAACCAGCTTCAGCACTACAAGCAGGCTGAACCAGTTTCAGTTCGATCTGTTCTTTTGCTGCGCCATTCAATATCGCTATTTTTTTTTTATATTATCCTGTCGTGACCGCTCGTGACATTCCGTAAAGTCAGAGTATGCGCTCTCTTGAATACTCGCTCTTGACAAACAAATGCCATGGAATCATGGAAATGCAGAGTTTTAACATCAAAGAGAGCGCTTATTCAGTGCTTGTTTTCATCCTTTTTTTTCTTGTGCACGAGACTTCATTGCCTTTGTGAGAAACTAAGTAATTGGGTTTAGATATAATTTTAAGATATGATTATTTGGAAATATATGCCGCTGTGCCGCTCCAACTTGCAACTGTGACTCCTATCTATGAATGCTTCATGCATGCGGGCACACACACACTTACACATCTACATAGCGTTTTAGCCGCTTTGTTGGAATATTAATTTTCTTATGATAAACTTCAAGTTTTCAACATTTTTTCCAACTCTCACACACAAGTTACGTTTCATTGCCAACTGTTCCAGTTGGGCTTTTGATTCCGTTCGATTCCTTTTGGGTTGGTTCGATTTGTTTCTTACTGCGTTGATTGCTGCAGTGTAGTCTGGCGGAGCGCCAGATACTTCTATGTTCACGACAGACGTCCGAAAGGTGAGGAATTACTTTTGCGCATATGTATGTACACAAACATATGCAGACACGTAGATTTGTACATAGTTAAGCGCCCATCATCCAGTGTAATGCAGAATGTCGCTCGATCTGGTGATGTGCTTCCGAGTTGAAGTTGAAAAATGTATTCCCGCAATCACACATATACATACGTGTATACTTACTTACAAATCTACAATCATACATATGCACATATTGGCGTAGCGAAGTTTCACATGCACCACTTTAGGGAGCGGTGTCGTGAGAGCACAACTGAGCGGTGAAAGGGGCGACACGACACTAGTACGGGTTTCAGTTCACGTCACTCACGCAGGGGGTTYTTCTTTTGAGGGTATACAAAATTTTACACAATTTTCGGTGGAAAAATCGAATACTCGCTTTCTGTTTGAACACATAATTTTTCATTTGTTGGACTTATTGGCGCACTGTGCGCTTTTTTCATTAATAATAACAATTTTGTTTGTACATATGCGTATACTTACTATATACATATTGTGACATTATAAGTTATATGTATGTGCGTATGTATTTTTCAGACTACACTTCACTTTTTCACTTTTGCTTATAAATATTTTGCAAACTTTACACTTCTTTAAATAATATTTTTTGTGTGCTACAACTATTAAATTTCGTTTTTTATATTTTTTTCTTATTTTATAATCACCTTTTCACAATTTAAAACTTTACACACATTCAGACTTTTTGTGTAGCTGCAGCTGCGACCACTAACTTCTTTGTTTTAATTGAATGCTAATGCCTTGGCTTGGCTAGTGCGAGTGTGTATGTGGTAGTAGTAGCTACTACCGCTGCCCGTTGTATAGTATATGCGCCCAAGCTGTGGCTGTGACTGCGATTGGGACTATGACTGTGACTGTGCTTTTCAGTTTTACTAATTTCAATTTCTTCTTGCAAATACACAAAACATTTTGTTAGCCGCTCCAAATATTAACCACCTTGTTGTACTAAAGTTCAATGTCTACTAGTAGTAGGCACGGCTCTCGTATGGCAAATAGCGCAATGTTTCACGCTCACTCTTTTTCGTAGCTAGCTAACCAAGTCACGACGAGTGCTCCAACGAGTGTCGGCATATACATGAGAGTCCATAGTCAATTCAAGTACACGCTACGTATGCGTTTGCTCCTTGGCGCAGCAACTGTCAAATTATACTCGGTCGACAACCTACAGCCGATAGCATGGAGCGATATGCTCTCAATGCGCCCACAGAGAGATGATGATGATGACATWTACACTATTATGACCTAAGTGCGAGCGGGATGAATGGTATAAGCAGCGTGTCGAATATGGTATTCTACCACCGCCAGTGTGCGGCGCTCAATTACTTTACTTCCAAAACCGGACCAACATTGCTGGCGGTCAATTTTGCGGCGAATTTCCACACATTGCACACTCCTAGTTTCGATGCAGTTCGGTTGTGCTGAGAGAATTCTCTGTTGTTGTGTACTCTTCAGTTCACCCTGCATTCAGTATGCACTCTCACTGTATTTTTATCTTTCCGCACTTAAATTCATCTTAGTAGCTCACTAGTGCAAGGAAACGAATTTTTATTGATTTTTCGTTCCGTTTCAATTTTATCAATTTTGACAGAAGATAGTATCGTCCATAACTGGAAATGTATGTAATTTTTAGCTGCAAGTTCATACGAGTTTTCTTAATCTATCATTAACACTTAACTTTTACTCCAGTTAGTGGCTGCTTAATGAATAGTTCAAATTTGTCCACTTAGTAGATAATTTGGATTCTAAGGTGACTGCTAGTCAAATTTTTATATTTRTACTCATAAATGTAAGCGACAAACATAAATGAAACATTACCTACATACATACATATGTATATACCAATGAACATTTATGGCTATGGTCTAAATTAGATAAGCGCCTTAATTCCCAATTGGAACATATTATTTTTAGCACATCTTTGGAGATATCACCACTTTGGCAGACATTTTAATTTAATACTCATGTATATAGCATTTCAGTGCCATATTTCTAACGAATTCAATCATTATGACCTACATTAAAACAATAAAGTGGCCGGCTAGTGACAAACTAGAAACCGAGACTACTTGAGGACTCGACGACTGAGAAATTTATATTACCTACACAGTCTCGGCTCACGAGACGAAATAATTGAGTACAATTTCTGTATAAATTTCCAAGAGGGGTATTTTAGACACTAGTTTTTTTGAATAACCGCTATATATATATATACATTTCGCCCTATTTTTATTTTGATAAAGCTATATATGAGTCATAAAAGATAGTATTTACTGTAAAAATACTCAAACTTCTTATAATAATTATAAGAACCTCAGCAGTCTCTTGGGGTGTCATACATATAGTCTAACTCATTGTTTATTCAGAAAACTTTTATCTCACAATACACGCCTGTTCACAACTCAAGGCATTTCTTTTCAATTACGCAAGTGATTATGAGTAATAATTAGCAGTGCTGCAATTTACCTGCATTGCGAACTTATGTGATTGTGCTTGAAAGCATTTCTTCATGCTTATAAACTCATGTACTTAACATACATATGTACATATGTAAATGTTATTGATAATGCAGTAGGAGTACTAACAAAGGGTAATTAAGTAACAATATTTGTAATTGAGAAACAATATTTACCAGATGAAAATAGGCGTATTTTGAAACATCCGCTAAGGTACAAAGCTTTCACTTTTAACTCAATCACTTCCTTAAAAGCTAAAAGTTGATCTAAGTCGTTCGAGATTCAACCTGAATTCGAGATAGAATTCAGGTTGAAATCTTCATATTGCAATAAAGGCTAAAAACTCAAGTCATGAACTTCTTCTTTCTTCTTTACTGGCGTAGGCACCGCTTACGCGATTATAGCCGAATTAACAACAGCGCGTAAGCTGTTTCTTCTTTTCGCTACGGGACGCCAATTGGAAATTCCAAGCGGAGCCAAGTCCTTCTCCACATGGTCTTTCCAACGGAGTGGAGGTCTTACTCTTCTTCTGCTCTTCCGGCGGGTATCGCGTCGAATACTTTCAGAGCTGGAGTATTTTCGTCCCTTCAGACGACATAACCTACCCAGCGCAGGCGCTGTCTCTGAATTCGCTCAACCATGTCAATGTCGTCGTATATCTCACACAGCTCATCATTCCATCGAATAAGATATTCGGCATGGCCAACGCGCAAAGGATCATGAATCTTTCGCAAAACCTTTCTCTCGAAAACTCCTAACGTCGACTCATCAGATGTTGTCATCGTCCATACCTCTCCATACCATATAACATGACGAGAATAATGCGTGAATTATAGAGTTTGGGGTTTGTTCGTCGAGATGGAGTGCCAGCTAAGCTATTCAAACACAGCGGCGAAGAACTGATATTGAGTATGCATYAGCTTCTTTGTAAAATATGGTTGTACCAAAGCATCTCCAACGATTGGAAGTTAAGGTTCTTACTGGCGAAAATATCGGTCCATATATTTTCGAAAATGATGCCGGTGAAAACGTAACCGTCAATGGCGACCATTATCGCGCGATAATCTATTTGATGCCTGAAATTGAATCTCGTGGYCTCAGTGACAATTCGTTTCAACCAGATGGCATCAATCAATGGATTAATTGAGAGAACACTTTGGTGAGCAGATAATTTCACGTTTTAAGTCAGTCCATGATCCACCAAACTTGTGTACTCTTTGGGAATATGTAAAGTCTAAAGTCTATGCGGACAATACCACTTCGATTCAGACTTTGGAGCAAAACATCGCGCGTGTCATTCGCCAGTTACAAAACGAAATGCTAGAAGACGTCATTGAAAATCGGTCACAACGGATAGACCATCTAAAACGTACCCGCGACCAACATTTGAAAGAGATAACGTCCAAAAAATATATTAAATGTCGAAAAATGCTCTTTCGAATTATAATAAACATGTCGATATTCTAAATCAGACCATCTAAGCATAYAACAACCATACAATCTAAACGATCCAAATCAAATTCTTGTATGGAAAACTATTTTATTTGACAAGATATCTTCACGAAATTTGGCATGAATTCTTKTCCAAAGCAATGGCAAAACATATACATACATACACAAATTTTCCAGATCGGAACACAATAGCATAAAGCTGCAGACAAACTGAACTTTTAAAATCAAGTTCTTGAGTGAAAACTTTTTTATTTGTGAAGAGTTGTGGTTTTGTTTTGTTATTAATTGTTACTGTTTTCATGGTAAATATGTATTTCTTAAGCTGTTTTCAAAGTCTTTACTTACGTGTTAGGAAATGAACCAAAACGGGTGGAATCAAGCTATCGTCTCACTAAATCTCTATTTTCTAARAAAAATATTTACTTACTCACTTAGCGCCTCCATCAAATCAAATTTTTGGACAGGCACAAATACGTACACAACAGTTGCATTGTAGCGGTATGTGGTAGTGACACCAGCGAATATCAGCTGAAATTCCCAACCGACTTATAAAATACTTAATGCACGTCTAATGACCCAACTTTTGCTCCGCAATAAGTCTCACCTGCTAGTCGAAATGATTTACAACTATACAGCGCTACCAATTATATGAGATATTGGTATAATTGTCTAACAGAAAAGGTAATCCCACAGCGACACAATGAATGCATGAAACATTTAACATTTCCCCAAAAACAAAAAGAGAAACTCAACTTAACTTCATACCTTCACGCCGACATACCAAACACAAACCAGTAACATCTTAAGTCGTTGTCTGCCCGCAACCTTTAAAATTGAGTCATTATTTGGAGCACAGCTGTATGTATGGATGAAGCTGTTTTATACACTGTAGTAAATTGAGTCAACACCTCGCTTTAAATGCATTTGTTGAATCAACAGAGCAGCCTCTGAAAAGACATGTGTGACAATGTACGAGTATGTTTGTATATAAATGCATGTGAATAAGTATTTATATCAGCATACTTAGCGAAGACATATTAAATTTACACTTACACTTTTCAAACAAATTTGCGCACATTGTAAATGGCCAAAGCACTTATATAAACAATGCGAAAAAATTAGACTCACTCAGGAGGTAATTCAGACAGCGGTCACTTCCGAAACACCACCAAGGTGACATACACAAATACATACATACTTGTGTACGTACATGGGATGCCAAGTCTCACAGTTACCACCTGCTCGCTCGCATTTAGATATTATAATTTTTATGTTTGTAGACTTGCTGTCTCCAGCAAGCAAGCAGTAAGCTTTACCTTCGGCTATTCTTCTTGTTCAATGAGATCATGTTGGCGCAAACGTGCACCCGCTGCCTGTCAACCCGTCTAACCCACCCACAGCCAGTTACAAAGCACTTGCCGGAGGGAACGATACAAAGCCTCATACACAAGCATAAGCATGTATGCATGCATGTGTGTGCGTTTGTGCTTGTGTATTTGTGTTTGCATGAGAGCATGGCATGAGCAACAGTGGCATGCAAAACTACCATCGTCTACTTCCACATGGGCGACCAAAGAACCAGCCAGCCAACCAAGCAAGCAAGCGACTGCGTGCATTGCGAACATTGTACATTTTACTGCTGTGCCAGCAATAAATTAAAAGCATTCCCGCGGGATTTATTAACCGCACACGCACGGACGCACCAACCTAGATCTGAATCTTTGTGTACAGGGCTGGCTTTGTGTCCCTGCGTCTATGAGCTTGTGTGTGTATGTGTATGTGTTTGCTTATAACCACAACAAAAGCATTGAGGAAWACTGATGGCGCTGTCATTAAAAAGCAATGCAGCACGGAGAAATGACTATGACTGAGACATAAAAGTATCTGCGAGCATTTATGCATTCATAAATGCTACATACCAATATTCTAGCTAACGTAGAAACGTGATACTTACTAATATACATTTAAACAATTACAAAAATTGCCATTTGTACATAGATAAGTACAATGTATTCACCTGCGAACACAAGCAGCCGATAAATATGTAAGTATTTATGTTTATATACAAACATATATATGTATACATTGTGTCAATGAGTTTTAAAGCTGCAAAATTGGGGTATTTCAATATAAGAATTTCTCGCTTTATCCCACTCTAATAAGTCCGATAATCGTAAACTTATCGCATAGCAAAAGGTACAGAAGGTTCTTCAAAGACGTTTGCTGTATTTGAAGGTCAAAGAAGATGTTTATTTAATATTCTTTTCGATCTGAATAACACACTTTTTCCTCGATGTTTTAAGCCTTTCTCAAATTTGGGAAAGCATTAGGCAGCTTCTTCAATAGTTATGTTTGCACGTACATAGGTGTATTTCCATTGTAAATTCAATTTAACGGTTGAATTTGTAAGCAATTGTTATAATCACACAGTCGTAAAAACGTAATAAAATCAGTTTCGAAAAATCGCACCTTAATATTAAACAAGAAATAATGGTCAGCTTTTTATAGTACCCTACACTTCCTGGGCGAAAAAAATTTGTGCAAAATTTCAGATCTATATCTCATAGAATCGAGGGACTAGTCACCCAAATACAAGTGTACAAAGGGACACACAAGCGACCATTGTTAAATTGATCTAGCTCCAAACACAGACCATTTATATACATACATATACACTTTATAGGATCTCCGACGATTTCAGGGTATACAAATGTACGTAGTTACGAAGAAAAACACACCTACAGTTTAACAAGTACTTATTAAGTTGAGTGGCTAAACGTTTCGTTAATACAACCGAGCAGTTATTTGAACGTGTCTAGGAAAAAGTCAGACGGGGATATAAATTGATGCTGGATAATCCAAAATCAARGATTATTACCAGATAATAGTTTTCGATAGGTAACGACTATACTTTTGAATATTTTTTTAATTTTTAGAACATTTTAAAGGGGAAAACGCGATTTATTGTCAAAAAATCTGGTAATACATATATTAAGTAAATTTTTTATTTTTTAATTGGAAAATAACTCCCCGTCGTTTCCTGGTAAATTCTCAAAAATTCCAAACGATCACTTATGAAAGGCACTTGAATCGAAAACGTGAGTTGAGGAGTTAAATTTCGACAGAATATGCTAAAAATATTATGCAGGTAGGGGATAAGTTCGGGTGCAACCGAAAATTTCATACTCTTGCAACTTATTTACAGATTAACCGATATTCGATCGGTATCGATTAATAGTTCGCACGAGAAATGAGAGTGACCCTTRCGCAGCTTCGTTCTGGGTACTGTAGCAGGTTAAATTCCTACTTATCCAGAATAGACACCGACATATCCAATATATGTCCTGCGAGCAATGGGTCTCCCCGTGGAAACAGCAGGTTTCTTGGGCCTTCCGTTAGATGACGTCGTCGACGACTAGACTTCTTGTTGCTTGGGTTTTTTAGTTTAAGTGGTTTGGGAGATATGTACATTAAACTTATTAAGGGATGGGTCCACATCTGCCTCTTAAAGATTTTCAAACTACTTATACTCCTCACCACCGCAAGCATTTGCATCAAATTACAGTTTTTAGTTTACGGTAATAAAAACAACAGTTACATAACTTTTTGCACAGGTATATAAATGTTAAAATCTCACCCCTACTTTAATTAAAATACCCTTTCTAATTTTAACAGTTCTACATACATACATATGTAATTTCGAAATTTGATATTTATTTTTTTYATCAACGTTATTTCTTAAATTCCTTTATGCTATTAAGGCTTTAAAAAAAAAATAAAAAAACTTGTTTATCTTATAGCGATCACTTTTCTGTAGTCAATGCCTAACTATCTCTGTTATTGTAAATATTTAGCTTTAAATGGATATCTTAAATATTTATAGTTTGTGTAAATGCTAGGTTTTGAATATGGACCACTATTATCGATTTGTATGCACATATGAACGAACGAACAACAGGATCTTTAACACATAGAAACAAATTTTTGAAATAAAATGCAAACATACCACATATACACAAATATTTGAGGTAGTTTTCGAAATAGCAACTTTATGATATTGAACACCAAAAATCAATTCGTGATTTCGGCTTCGTTATGATTCGAGCTCAATCCACTAAAAACTCTTTCCGGCGGATGATTATGTTCGACATTCCGCACCGAAAACTCCTCCTCATTGACATCGGTTATAAGACGGGCTTTACAATTGCGACTGCGCTGCTTTGCACATATCCAATATTTACGTGATTTCACCTTTTTAGCGCATATATAGGAATAACCATCACAGATCATCTTGCGAGCGCCACGCTGCCCCAAAACATAACGAATAGATTGTATGGCACAAATATCAGAGCCCTCTGTAATTAAAACAACTAAAAATCCAATTAAAATGATTAAGTATGTATATAAGAGAGGGGCAAATGAATTAATGTTAATTGTTTAAAGTTTTTAAATAAATATAAATGTATAGTGAAACAAGTTTACTTATTTTAGCACTGAAAAAGAAGCAATACACTTTATTAATTTTTTTTTTTCATTGTATATATCTTTTACTATTCCGTCGTCATATGCTTCCACACTTTTGTATTAATGTTATTACAGTTCTTTTTTGAAATCTTTGCGATTATTTGCCGGTGGTGACGGTGGTGGTGGATGGTTGTGGTTTTGATTTTTAATTAGCAAAGCGCCAGTCTTAGCGCAAGTGATGATGCGCGCACGGCAGCGATTGTCGCGATTTTTTGCGCACAGCCAGTAAGTTTTGGGGCCCTTACTGTTATTTCTGAAGTATGCAAAGCCGGCGAATAACAATTTCGGTTTTCCTTTTTTGCCTTGTGTAATCATTAAGCCGCATTTCTTGGCTAAAGTCTCCAAAGCTGGAAATAGAAGTAAACAATAGGAAAGCATGGGTCAATATAAGCTTCATAAAATCYTTAAACGACTCTGAATTATCATATTACTAAAGATTAGAAAGCTTAAAGCGTTACAGTTAATAATAAAAGTAGTCAAAAGTCAGCAAGTTTCTATGTTTAATTACTATTTAATTATTTATAAATATGTGTATATAGTATATGTAGCAATTTATTAAATAAATAAGTTATAATAAAAATAGCACATAACATTTTAATTATGCGCAATACAATCTTACAGCAAGTATTATTTTTATAAGCATCATCGAGTATTCAAATTAATATTATTTTAGGCTTTTATTTATTAAAATTTTGTCACAATAAAGAAAACTCATTACAAAATATTTCACCGAAGCAGTTTATTATTTTATACACCATTTTTAACATCAACTCACCAATTAATGCGTACGTAGTAATAACACTCAATACGAAATATTGAAATTTTGTATTATTTTCTTCCATTAAACAACGTTTTATAACTGTAATCCACACACTGTTGAACTAAAAACTTCAAAATGACAAAAAAAACAGAACGTGTTGTGTTCAAATTTATTTGGGTAATGATAGTAACAAATTAATTAAATATAGATGGTACATACCAGCAAATACACCAAATTTCTTACACTGCATTAACAAGGAATTTATTCATATTTAGATTATGTTTTAAGCCGTAAAACTATAAATGTAAGTAAGCAAAAAATCTTGATAATTATGTATTGTTATAAGCCATATGCATTATTATTATATATACGAAAATCTTATGGATTAATTAGGATTATTCTCTCTGTGAATATACAATGTCCTTTAATATCCTTTTCGGAGAAAAACCATTTAGTTATCAAACATCGATTTACTCGTGCGAATGTTCGCCATTTCTTAAGACGTAACGTTCTACACCGTTAACAACTCGTGTTGTTGCTCGTGCCTTGCATTTAGCACTTTTATACCGGGCACAACGCCAATTGGTACTCTGCTTCAGCATTCGATCGATAACAAATTCGAATGAGTTAATAATCAACTTCTTACGCTTCTTCTTGGTATTTCCAAATGATGCTAGCGCAGAGAGCGGCAATGTCTTGGATTTTTTGCCTGTAAAGATAAAAACTCAATTAGTATATGGGAATGATATTTATWCTATATACAGTATGAGTAGAAATAAAGTTAAAAAAAATTTTCATTGGTTAAATGTTATGCTGCATAAAACTTTATTCAAAGTTTCTTGTAATGAAGTAGTAATCAGGATAATTCATTTCTTTCTCAATTGTTGTAAATATACCGTAGATGTATTTATGTAACATATGTATTTTATTTTGCCATTAATTCAGTTACATTTTTTGAAAATCAAACAATATATCCCTTAAACCGATTTCGCTATAATCAGAATACAATAGTATCATAAATTGAACTGTAAACTGTACTTGTATCCAGTCCTCGATATTTTACACTTTAAATGTTTGTATTTATTGTTTGTTTATATAGCTTTTGATTTATGAGTACTATTCAATTTATATCTATTGTTGGACAATTTTGCGATGATAAACATATTATTGCAGTTAATGCCATTTTCCCACAACACAACCCCACAAATATCGTTGCACTTATGTACCACTCGAACCCATTTCTTCGCCTTCTTTTTTACATTCAAACATCGAGAATTTTTTTTTTTTTTTTTTTTTTGTAGTAGTTAATACAGCAATTTTTCCTTCAAATTAGCACACGCGTTCCGAGGTTTTGTTTACATGTCAATAACAAAGAAGACAAATATTTTGCATCGTTTTGTTAGACTTATACTACATTCCCTGTAGCATCACCCTCTTACTTCGACATCATATTTTCTATAAATTATTATTTTTACGAACATTGTTATCATGAGTTTTTTTGTAATTGGGAATCTGTAATTGAAAATAAAAATCATTTAGTAAATTAATAAATAGTTGTTTGTGTAGCATATTTTTAAAATAAGTACCTGGAGTATTCAGGAAAATTGATTTTGCAAGGCGAAAAATTCTGTGTCCTGTACATATATATATATATATTAGCCCTTCGAGAAATTTATATATTTTATATTATTATATACACAGCAAATAATACCATAACGATATGAAATATAATCACTTTAATATTTTACAACAAATAAACTGAAATCCCTTCACTGATTCGTAATTCGAAATTATCATTAAAAATATATACATATTATATTTTAATTTAGGCACAAAACATATTATATACATATATTGTATATATTATATTATTACTATTTTGTTATATAATAAATTTGCACTATTCTCACTTTTTTGCAGAAGCTTTAAGATTTACAAATATCTAGAATAAATACATACTAAAAATAGATATTTGCTGCTTTGTATACAATACAAATAATTCAAATTCTCCGTAACACAACTATCAGTTATAAGTGTTACGACCCACTCTGCATCCAAGCTATAAAGGCCTAGACTAGTTTTACATTGGTGCCTTTGAGTATCAGTTTAGTTATTACTACGGATATGTGATTTTCTCTCCATTAATGTATTCGCATTATGATTGTGAAAACTTGTATGTACAATGCGCCCATTTTCAGTGTGTACACGACCGTGACATTTTCGTCGCGTTGTATATTGCGTACACCTCCAATATACCTTATTCCGTATTCGCTTTTCATGCACATAATGAAATCCTCTATGTACTAATAATGTACGTCCTTTTTGGCTAGAAATATAATGGATGTCTGAAGCATCATCCACATCTAGTGTAGCCCGATGCATAATTTTAGCATTATTTATGGAACCCTCAAACGATGTGGCGCCTGCAAATGAAATTAAAAGCAATCATTATAGTTCCTTACATAAAAATTGTATGCATATATGCTTATGTTAAAAACTGCAGGTAAAAAAATTAAACGCTCACCATTTTCATGAAATTTGTATCACAAAAACGTGCATGATCAAGCATCAAACGCCTCTATTTACATAATTCTCATTTCTATTCTATTCTATAGCATAGTACAAATATATATGTATATAATATCAATAAAACAGAATTATTGTTCATTGAACTAAACATCAACATGTTAACTTTTTTGTTGTTATTGCTGTTAAGCATTCTACTGATGTTGCAGGGTGGCGCTACCGATACTTTGTGTTAGAATTTCAATTTTAACATTTCCATCAACTTCCACTTCGTGCTCCTCATCGCCTTTCATAGCTGTCACACTGTAGCACTGTTGGTTCAGTTCCTGTTGATGTTGATCGTACTGTTGCTGTTGTTGGTGGTGGTGATGATGTTGTTGGTGCTGTGCTTGTTTGCTCGATCCATATTTGTTGCGCTTTAGCTCTGCATGAATATGTTCCGCTTTGTTGATGATAAACTTTGGTGGACTGCCTTTTATCATTGTGATCCGTGCTGGACACTTAATCTTTTTGGTTGCCATCGAACTACAGCGCCATAGTATTTTTTTCTTATTTTCACTCATTATTAGAAAACGTACGCCGTTGGCCATTATAGCGGGTCTACCGCGCAACGATTGTGTGAAAAAGACTAGCACATCCTCCGGGTTTGGCACCACATCATTTGCAAGAACAACTGCAACGCATCACGTTTGGTTGTTGGCGTATGAAAATATATAGAGAAAAGGATAAAATGTGTTAGTGATTATATTTAAATAGTGCTTAGTTTACTTTTTAATACACTCCAAGTGTTAGCAAACGAATATTTTCAAATGCCTAATTGTTTATTAATACCACAAGTGCTACAATATGGAACTTGTTTTCATTTTTTTCTTTTTTGTTTTTTTTTTTTTGTTTTACATAAACTTAAATAATACACAGTTATAATTTGTAGAGTTTAAATTGTGAACATTTCTTGCTCATTATCAATTTCCACATCAGCCACGGTTTGAATATTTATTGCCGCCAAATGAGGTGGAAGTGCGTTTGCAATTGCCAGTGGAGCGACATTGGTGCCTTGTTGCCTTTTGCTTGACTTCACATGACGATGTTTATGAATTTGGCGAAAATCACTGCTATCATATTTATTCATGCAAATCAATACGGGACAACGAATACGCCTRCAGTTAAAAAAAATATATATAAAACAAAGTTGAAATTATTAATGCAGAGAAAACTGGAAGGGGCTCTGTAGATGTTGCACTTACCTGTAGTACCAGTGGCAGCGCCAGAATAAATTCGTACGGTTCTCATTATTGCGAAAATATTTGAGTCCATCCAACCAAAGCAACTGGCCACCACGTTTCGAGACGGAAAATTGTATCTTTGGTTGTGTTGCGTTGAATTGGCATCCTTAGATGTGTTGAAAGCGAGTTAGTAAAAGAAAAGAGATTTATTTATGAAAAGTAAGTGTTAACTTTAGTTTTCTTAGTTAAAGTTACTGCACAAATTTTTAAAAAGAAGTTTCACACAAAATTTATGAAATAGACCATCATGCTTTACAACTTCGATGGACAGTTTTTATATTATTACTATTTATTATTATGTTTCTTTTTTTTTTTGATTTTCATACGTACTTTTAAAGAAAAATTTGCTTTAACAACAACAACGCGCATCCTATCGTACAAAAACAGACTTTCAAGAAAAATTTCACAAATTTGCTTTTTGAAAATCGAATTTGGGCTTATAAGACACGGCGCATACAATAACTTATTCATACTACTAAATTAATATTAGTTTAGCTATATGTAATTAAAAATTATTTTTACAAGAATTCATTTCTCCATTCATTTTTGGTATGGCGATACTTCTGCACTGCACTTCAGATTTGTATACTAGAAAATACAACATAAACAATCACCATATTTTTGGCTCAGATTTCATTATGCGGATTTCAATATCTTCTAAGCCTTAAGATCGTCTATGTCGTCGTGCAATGAGTCAATATGACCCTCATCGAGTAGTGCACAATCTTTGGGTAGAAAAGGTTTAATTTCAATATCATTGCTGGTTACATGTTTATGCTGATGGCATAAACGTAAATTTAACGTTGTCTCATCGTATATCGCAATGGCGGGACACTTCTCTTTGTAGTAATTACTGCACTTCCAATACTGGCGGGAGCCACGTTTCTTGTTACGAAAGAAGCGAAATCCATTTATAACCAATAATTTTCCACCATTTTTTTTCGAATCAATAAAATCGATTTGAAAACCTGTAAAAAGAAATTACACACGGTTAGTACAATAAATTAGTTTATGTATAAGCAACTATAAATAAATAAATTTATACAAAATAAAAATACACTACAAATTATGTAGTGCACTAAAGCTAGTTAGAAGTAAAATTCATGGAAAATTTAACCAAATTAAAGTTGAACTCACAGTATTCGCTCTACAGTCAAATATGGCTAATGTAATTATAGTTTCCACTTAAATATTGCAAATATAAGCTACGGCAAGCTTACAAAAAAAAATAATAAAAATATACATACTTAATTTTTAGCGAACTAAAGTTTGTGGTTAGTACATTCGATTATTTCCTGAAATACATAAATCAAAAACCTTTGCTACAAACAAGATGTTTATTGTAGTTATATATAATAAAAAATAATGTTGTAGTACAGGCGCATTTTTGACCATAGTCTTTTTCCTAAATATTTAAACTGTATTATAAAAAATTATCGAAGTAAATGGCGATAATTTTCGAAGCGGTTACTCAACATACATATAATATATAATTATGTATGTATTTAGAACTTAGCTAACTAAAACGTCTACGTTTTTATTGCATATTCCAGGTGAATTTCCCTTGCCATTATTAAGTTGGCAGTAGTGTCTAGTATAAAATTATTCCTCCTTCACAATCGAATGGTTATGTACGCCCTTTATAACGCAACGTGTTGGTGCCGCAAAACTAGTGATTGCTCGTGCCTTACAATTGCTATGCCACTTTGTGCACTTCCAATACACTTTCATGCCATAGATGTTGTTTTTGATGAAACGATGACCTTCATATGATAGCAGCTTGTTGCCTCTCGATGTGGTGCTATATTTGATAGCCCCCCAGTCATCCAAGGTACGATTTTCCAGAAACAACGGTTTACGCTTAGACAAGCCAGTTTTAACTTTAAGCGCTTTGCCTTCGGCGCTAATGTTTTTGGAATCGTGCAAGGTCGTCAATATGGGCAAGAAACTTTCATCGCCGCAGGGCATCTCAAATTTACAATTCGTTATGCTATACTGAAAGGTTCTCATTGAATCTGAAATTAACAACAAAGACAAAAAAAAGAGACAGTGACAGTGACAGTTATAGAACAGGAACACAAATAACTTCATTTACTAGTTATAATAAATATACGAACTGAACGATCTTAATCTATAATTTTTACAGTCATAAATGTAATTACTTATACAACATTCTAAACGCATTAAAAAATTCATTTGTTTTTTTGTTAATGATCGACTAAAACATTTTATTTGGCAACACCACCTCTAACTGCGCAACGACATTAAATCTTTTAGAAAAAGTTCAGTGCGCTGCAATCCAGCCTGATTACGCGGATATTTTCGTGTGTGGTTATGCTCGAAAGTGCGATGAAGTATGCGTTCAGTGCCCTGTTTATCACGCGCTGTCACCACTCGCGCCCGACACCAAGTAATGTCCTGTGGAGAAACAAAAATGCAAACTTACCAAATAATCACAAATTGTTCGCAAAAGAGAGAATTTAAGGTAAGTGAGGATATTAAGAATAAATTGCCTTTTTCGAGCAGATCCAGTAGGTGCGCGTGCTTGATTTGCGATTCTTCACAAACTTTTGATTTCCATAAACGAGTACTGTACAACCGCGTTGGCCGGTACTGAAAGTAGCGATTTCTGCAAAATACAAATTAATATCATTAAACCTTTATGCTTATGCGATGAGTAAATGAGATTAGAAACATCCTATAACAATATCCCAAACTCAATTTTGAGAAGCGTTAATCGCAACGGCTTAGCAGAAATATAACATTAGATGTTTAGTTTTGTTTGTATGTGCTTGAAAGTGTATTTTCAATAAGTATTTTGGTTTTGCAATTTAACATGCATTGGATTCACAACCAAAGGAAATGTCTTTATGAAAAAGCTGCATTTTGCGCAACGCACGACATTTCGTTCTTCATATGTTCTTGAACATATTTGTTTGAGTCTGCAATACTTAAAATTGTGCACGCTGATTGCTCTATCGATGTTTTGCGCTTTTTACGAGCTACTTTTTGTGCGTGATTATGACGGCAAGACTCCAACACGATTTTTTGTACACCATCAATAACATCAGTAACCACGCGTGCATTGCACTTAGTGCTACCCTATAAACATAATAAATAAAACACACTTTTCAATATGTTGAGGTATGACGAAAATATATTCACACTTACCTTTTTCGCGCATATCCAATAAGTCTTCAAGCCGCTACGTCGATTTCGTACATAATTGTATCCCTTGAAAACTAGCAACGTGCAGCCACGCTGGCCCAAAGTGAATGAGAGTAAACTTTCAGACACATCCATGTCCCGTGGTTCATCTGCAAGAAACGAAGTAAATAAGAATTCAACTTAACAAACTACATTTTAACAAATTGTGTGGCTTTTTACTAACTGCTGATACATACATAAGAGCAATGACCCTATTAATTTTGCGTATTTTGACATAAATGTTTTTTTTTTTTCTCGTTCAAAGATAGTATTCATATATTTTGTTTTAAATTTATTTGCATACTTCACTAATGAAATTAAAATAAAATAAATTAATTCAGTTCAACTAAAATATCCATATAAGTGAAAATACAAAATATGTATTTTATTCCATTTTGCGATTGGCTTAAAATGGCGGGTGATTATGTTGCTCGCATTTGACTATAACATCGTGTCGGCAATCCTCATCTATCGTCACAACGCGCGCTTTGCACTTGTGTATACCGGCGCGTGCGCAGGACCAGTACGTTTTCGAACCGGACGATTTGTTGCGCGTAAAGCTATAGTCGCCCACCTTCAATTTGCGGCTACCACGAAATCCCGTTATATAGGAAAAGTAGTTAGCTGTTCGGCCTGTAACAAAATAAGACAAATAAAACGAAAAAGTTCGATTAGCAAAATCTTATATCTTTTTGCTTAAAATCAAATAAACTTCATAATTATCAAATATGTATAAGTACAGTAATGCTGCATAGTTTATTATGCGGAACAGATAAAGTTATCCATAAATTTAAGTTTTTTTAAATAATTTTATTGCTTGAATGTCGTTAGCATATTGTTGTCATTAATAGTATTCTTATTATTGTTATTTTATGTACTAATTGTAAAATAAACTGAAGAAGAACTTCATAAATTCAGAATTAACCTTAATGAATGGCGTTAATACACCTACAATAATACATATATTTTTAGTCCGAAATATTCGTTTCTCTTCTGCCACTGGTTAAGGTATATGTGCCTTTACAATATGTTATCGTATCGCCAGTGTTGGTAAGGTTTACCTTGCCAGCAACCGGAGTAGTATTATTAGATGTCATTGCAGCTGCCGCCGCTGCAGCTGCTTTCAGTGATCCATACTTTCGAGCTTTTGTAATAACCTCGTGATTATGTTCACTATTCAACACCGTTAATGTGTTGCCTTTTGTCTTGATACGCGCACGACAGCGTAATACAGCGAATTGGCTACAGCGCCAATAGGTGACCTCTTCACGGCTAACGTGTCTATTGAATGTGTGCTGCTTCAGCACTAGTTGCCTTGTACCATATTTGCTCACCACAAAAACGGGACCCTCAAAGGCGTTATGTGTATGCAGTTGTTGTGCAGGGGCCCGTTCAGTTGGCTCATGTAGAATTGTTGGTTGTAAATAGATCTCCTCTTCATATATATCTTTATCTGAAAGTGAAATAGTTGTAAAATCGTGCATTAGTTCAGGTGTAAGAGAGAATTGTACAAAACTATAACAATATATGCGTGAATTTTATATAAAATAAAATAAATCATATTTTACGTAAAAGCTAGCTTCAATTAAATATGATTTTTGCGAACTACTGTTTCTTTATTTTAAATAATTTGCTTATTTCTTTCTTTGTTAAGTTATAAATATTTCAAACATGATTGCAAGACGAGTACTTCTTCCGACAAGCAGGAGTATGGGATCCTCCAATCAAGACAAGACCACCTTTCAGTTCGTCAATGGTTATATTGGCGGGACAATTAGGCGTTATGCAATACCAATGACTATTGTATGCTCTTGAACGTAATAATTTGTATTTTACTCCCCTCAATATGAGATACCTAAATTGGTTTTCCGTGATAATAATGGCTAAAAGAAGAAAGATAAAATGCTAGCAATTAAAATATATTATTTATTATTTAATTCAAAATATTTGAACTTAGCTTGAACTAATACAGTGCAGAAAAACTTTCCCAAATATACAATAAAGTTTCGCTTATAAATTATTTGGAATAGTACATTTAGGGCTTATTAACATAAAGTAACCGTGAAAATCTTACATACTATTTTGTATTTTATCTTTGTTATATACTAATATTTGAGAGAGATATCTTATTTTCTTACTAAGTGATTTATTACTTTAAAAAGCTAATTAAATACGTACATTTTTTAAACTTTAATTTTCTACAATTATTTTCATTTTAACGGCCATACGATAATACTTAGATGTGTAGGAATAGACGAGTATATACATATGTAAGTATGCATATGTATGGAGCACATATTAACTGTAAAATTTTGATGAATGCACTGCTTGACTTATAATGTCAAAGCAAATTCTGCTCTTGATAACGCCTTCGATGGCATCGTTTCAGGCGTAAACTTGGGCGGGTGATTGTGTGGATGTTTGCCCAATTTAATGGAGCCATCCCACTTTGTAATGCAGCGGGCGGTACATTTGTTATCCGATACCCGCCTCCCATTACCTCTGGAACAAATCCAGTTTATCGTCGAACGAAAACTAGCTTCCTTTTTATACATGAACCCGTTGAAAATTAGATTATAACCTTGTTTTTGATTGCGCATGTATAATACCTCTTGGTTTTCCAACCATACACCTAATGGAAAAGGCATGGTATATATAACGGCATCTCTTTTCTGTGATTCGTTTTCAGCATCTCTGCAATCCGAACTCCCTGGAATTTACGTTAAAATTAATATTACAATTTATTAGGCATCGTTACGAATTTTTTTAAATAGTAAAAGCAATATATTTTACAGTGAAAAAAACAGCAAATAATTATATTTCTTATAAAATTAAGATTTATTTTTAGTTTAGTTGAAATTGTGAACTATCATCAACGTATTGCTACTGCATTGTCATGTTTAGTTCCGGTTCCACGTTTTCGTCACGCCGAAGACAATCATCTGGTGGCGTGCTTGCATAGTTTGAATCATCTGTATTATAATGTGGCTGTCGACCGGAGAGCTTTGAACCTAAGTCAAGTTCTTTAAGGCAGATTGTGTTCAATTCATTGCAAATTCTACGTCCGCACTCGATTTTCTCCGATTCATTGGCATGCGTGTGCATGCCGTACAAACGTACATAACGTTTCGGTGAGACAATTAGACGAGCTCTACACTTATGCTTCGTGCAACGTATGCAGCGCCAATAACGTCCACGATTCTTTCGGTATAAGTAATTGTTGAGCACAATTAATGGATATCCCCGTTGACTAAAGATGAATTCCAAATCAGCGACGTCGTACTCAATATTTGTATCTGAAACCAAATACCCTTATTTAAACATGTGCATGTACGTAAAGAAACAAACTTATACCGAATAAAACAAAACCGTAGCCTAGTTTCAAAATCAAATATGTTTCTCCTATTATTTATTACAAATTTTATGTGTATGTACGTACATAACTAAAAACATATGTTTACTCTACGGCTAGTGACATTCTTTAATTATAAGCTAATCATATACTAAACGATTAATTTCAGCCACGTCGATGTGATACAGCGTTGGTATTGTTGTGGTCACATTCACCTCGTGTTGCGCTTCCTTACAGCAACGACAATTTTCCATAATTTTGTTTTCTAACGATATTTCCTTCGATTGTTGTCGTTGCACATTTTCTAAATATTTTATTGTGTTCCAATTAATTACATTTTCCAATTCATTGTTACGTGTTAATAGTTTTGCGTCTATGATTGCCGATATTTCATCGACGTTCGGGGTCATTGCCAAATTAATTGCAGGATAAAAAACATAATAAATCATAACCAAAAGATACGACACCACATTGATCATGCATAATACTAAATATTTGTATGGAAAATTTTTAAACCCCAGATGCTTCAACGGCGCAAGAACCCAAAATATATAGAAAGTAAACAGCAACACTGCACATAAATAACAAGCGAAGCCCTGTATTGCCCGATAAGATGTTGGTGCGGGGTTCGGCATTACGTGAAGAATAATTTTGATCGCAACTGACTGGCCACATTGAAATAGAATTTAATTTTTGACAGTTATGTCAAAAAAACAATTGAATAAATATGATTTAAAAAATAGAAAATTAATAATTGTGGTTTTATACCCAACACATATTTTTATTTGTTCTCGTATAAGTTTCGCAAGCTTGACATTTGTTTATTTTATTAATATTTATGTTACAGAATCTTTAGATTAAATGTTATTATCACCTTATAGCACGAAAATTTTTGCACTTTATGGAGCGTCAAAATTTTGATACTTTAACAACATTTTAAGCACCATCTTTTGACCAATTATGCATTTTTGTCGCTACAACAACAACAATTTTGCATTGCGGTAGTTGAACCTTACTCAGACTTAGCTTTAACATGATCTGTATAATTCTAGGGGGGTAAAATTAAAAGCAATATTACTTACCCTTACTTTATGTACTTTATGAAAAAAAAAAACGAAATCACAAGTAGAAATATATTCAGTGTTTAAAGCAAATTACGGACAATTTTTCAATAGTACTACTACGTTAAAGAAATTCAATGGTCGACTCTTTGAACATATTTAGACATGACAGCCGATCAATTAAAATTATTAAGAATTCAGATAAATGAAGTGATAAGCAAAATTTCAATTAAAATGTATATTTTTTAATGAAAATTAGAAATTTCTATTATGGAAAGTAGAAACGAAAAAGCTTACTATGCGTAATTTTAAGAGGAATTTAATTTATTTACAAAGAATTGTAAAATTCTTTCTGTACTTCAATTTTACATTCTTAAACCATGCTCCAAATGGGATGCTAGAAAATCTTCAGATTCTTCCATGACTACTATACTATATATAGTTTGTTATTACATATTATGAATAAATTGCGTTAATTATTAAAAAATTAACAATGCTGCTTTTTTATGCATAACCACTATATACATACAGATATGTCACATACACGTGATATATCTTATAATTTTATAATTGTGGCTGTTATTTAATAAAAGTATGTGGTAAGTAGTTCCTTAACACCAAATGTTTTTATGCTCAGGAGCAAATTCACGTTGTAAATGATAAACATTGTATTTTGAATAGTTTTGTAGTTAAATATTGCGCCAAAATAAGCAAAAAATTGACAAACAATCTGCGAAGACTCCTCCATAAAAAGTTTATATATGGTTATTAAATTCATTCTAGGAAACTTTTAGAATATGTATTATTATTATTCTTTACTCACTTGGATAATATTTGGGAATTATCAGCCGTTTTCGTAAATCGTTTTTATAATGGGCTTAAAGTTCCATTCAAAAAATTCACATACTCTGATTAATATTTCCATTATATTTTATAGTTACATAGTTCTTGTAGGAACCAGAGCCCATTCACCAAAATTAACACGAAATACACATAACACAGTTTCACACCCTATGGATTTTCTCATGAATAACTTGTTATATAGATGATAACACAGAAATTATATTATTAGTTTTATAAAAATATATATAGATAAAATGCACAATATTATTTTATAAGCTACGAAAAATGCGGCGAAAATAGTCAAACAATAATTGCGAAACAATATACGCTTCAAAATGGCGTTTCGAAGTACAGGTATGCATCAAATATACGATTTAGGGTTTGCCGTGAAAAGAATATTTTAACTGCTCATATTATTGGATTATATTGGTGATACTTCAGAATATTTACTTATTGCAAAAAATTATAAAATATGTATTGTAACTGAATATCTATTTAGAATAGACTTATAATTTGATATTTAAATTATGCAGCACTTTAAAAAAAAGTTATCACACTAATTTGTATATCGACAACATCTGAATTAAAAGTAACGACGTATGCAACCCTACCTAATTTTTTTTCGTTTACCGAATGACGCGTGACACAAACAAAATTTCACCCATCCTACACAAAAATAAATAAATTTATATTTAATCCTCACAATTAGTGATTTTGTTGTTTTATTTCATGAATAATTTAATATTTTATTATATACGTTAATGTGATTTGATTGGAATATTAAATATATTTAAACTTTTCAGCAAATTTATTAGAGTCGGACTCGGCATGGATTGAAACTCGTCCTCTAAAAGGAAAACGTGGACGTCGTCCTAAACAACCAAAAAAGGATGAGCGTCTAGCAGACAGAGTATTAGCTGCTGTACAACGCGGTCGTGGGCAACCTGCTTTATACGCCTCTACTACCAAAGGCGGCATGAAACTTATCTACGAAGGACATCATTTTCGATTCACATTCCGAAGAGGTCCATATTCAATTTTTCAATGTTGTTATAAGGAGAATATGCAGGAATGTAAAGTTCGGGTGGTTACTGATCAGAAACGTGTCTTCCCCCTGGACGGAGAACATGTGCATTTCATGCAAGCCACAGATAAAAGTGTAACATCAATGACTTTTGAACCTGATGGTCATTTGGACGATGAAGATAGTCAAGAGCAGCACGAACAAAGTGACGCCTTCGATGAGTATGAGATACAGGTAACTGATTCAGTACAGACAAATGAGCCGCAAACAATGGAATTGGATAATTCGGAAGAGTTTTTGGCAGAGCCAAACGAGGATACATCTGTTTCCTCGGACACAAATGATTTTCGAGAAAAAATAAAGCGACGCTTACAAAAAGCACTTTTAGGCAAAAAGAAATGATACGACAATTTCGAATCGTTTGAATCAACTACATATAATTATAAATATTTTTTTATTATAGATTTTATAATCTTCTGTATGCAGACATTGAATAGCAAGTGCCTTAAGTGGGTAGTACAGTGCATAAGAATATGAAGATAATTAATAAAAAAAAAATATAAGTGCCTATATACTGAATTTTAATATATTACGGGACAAGCATCTTTGGCTGATATATGCGTATACTCGTAAACTAATACATTTTTTCCAATATTTATTTACAGTAATGCAACATGTACGTAACTGTGGTCCGCAAATGTTTATTTACAGTCGTAAGGGCGGCACACTGTTGGCGATAAATGATTTTATATATCGCTCAAATTTAAAGCGTTTCGGAAGAAATAGTGACAAGGTATACTGGGAATGTATTCACAATCGTTCCAAAAAATGCCGAAGTCGTTTAAAAACTATTGGCGATGATCTATACGTTACAAATGGTAAATATTCAGCGTTTAACTTGAAACTATTAATAAATGTAAATAATTTTCCTCAAGATGTTCACAATCATATAGGTGATGGTCAACGCATTACTACCGCTAGACGGGCTGGTTTGTTAATTTATAAGAAATTTAGTTCAATAGGACAAAATGTAGGAAAATTACAATGCAATACGATCTCTTAGAAAAGTTAAATATGTTTAAAATGTTAAATGACCAATGTTTAGTTTATTTGTTATGGACAATATACTTAGATAGACATGTATTATTTTTATATTAATAAAATTCAGTCCATATATCATAATTTTAAAGTATATACTTGCATATGGGGGTGAGATTCAAAACGCTAAACATTTAAAAAGTGACAATCGATTTTGTGGTGTATTTACCACAATATACCATACATATATTATTAAACTTAAAATGTGATTGCCTTTTAATACATTTCGATACATACATATGATTTTTCACGCTTCAAAAGTTATGTTATAAAGTCGGCAATATAAAATGCATATAATGTTATTATTTATTAATAATATTGATTTTTGATATTGAATATATCTAAGAATACTTGCTTAAGGCGTTTAAAATTAGAAAGATATCTAGATCGAACTTAAGAAAATTTATATCGATTTAGGTTTTTTTTTCACAAGTTAACTAATATTGATGAAATGAAAAGTATGACGCAACAAATTATTATCAATGCTGTTTTGTCATAAGATTCGCATTTTTAATTCTAAGATTTCATATAAACTAGTTATATGATTTATTATTTCCTTTAAAATAAAATAAAAAATATTCGCACCTGCTTATAATTTGAAAAATATTAACATCCTTCTGAAAAGTATTAATTCTTATTCTAAGGAGGAGTGTTAATATAACACCCATTCGGTTGCATATTTGGCTTTAATTTTCTATATTGCATAGATGCAGTAGCTGCAATAGCGCTTGGAGTTACTACTGGCAATGCTTTATGCCATAAATATGCTGCTGATGAAGTGTTATGTTGCCCGTGAAATTGAACGTGTGGTGATAGTCCGGCTTCTGTATACATTGGCACACCCAAATTGTCTTTACGTACTTCTTTGATACCAGTTTCTATTTTGATACTGTCACACATATTATTGTAAGCCTCAGATAAAACAGTGCTCATATGTGGAGCTTTTGTTTGACAATACATCTGGCATGCTGATAGTATCTCTCTGTGACGCCTTTTGATATGACTAAGAAAGTTACCCGTAGACTTTGTAGTCCCTGATATTACACCTAAACATGTTGTGCACGTTGCTTGAATTCCTCCAAAAGTTTTCCTATTCGGCTGAACGTCTTTATAAAATTTCCCATCCAGTAATTTTGGTAATGTCATTGGTTTTGTAACTAAAATTGAAACAAAGGAAATTTTAGTATATTAGTAATTTTAATTGAAATAAGATTTTTCTACTGTATATGATAAAAGAGTTTGTCAATTTCAAAAAAAAAAATTCAATTTACTTTAATGTAACATAAAATTTTTATAAACTTGGGGAAAGCATTTTCATATCAATTTTCTAGTTGCTTATAAGTCAGAAATAATTTATGGTGTTTATTGTAATTTTCTATTGCACTTAGAATACATACATATATTACAAAAATAGAATAGCATTTTGTTCCGTAGATAAATGATTGCCGTATTAATTTCAATAATTTTTTATTTAAGATCGCTTAGTAATGAAACCATCCTTAGCAAGCTTCCTTTTGACTCATCAATGAAATCAGGTGAAATTTCTACAAGATTATCTGTTTTCATTTCTGGATCATGTGTATGAGGTGAACCAGTAACCCGTATAGCCGATACATCATCATGCAGCTTTGATGTGACAACAGTCGCTCTGCACCCAAACTTAACGTAACGTGAACAGCGCCAGAATATATTTTTGTGACTTTGACGGTTCTCTACATAGCGATATCCGTTATAAATAAGCATAACACGGCCACGCTGTGTAGTAGAGTATTGTAAATATGTTGTAGTATTTTTGTCTTCATATATATATTTCAAATCTGAAAAAAAAGTATTTTAAATGTGCATTAGTGTTAAATAATACGTTATAATTATAATGTCTAATTATGCATAATACTATGTTATTATAATATATGTATCATTTATACCCGTTTCATGTCATAATGTTAGATGTACATTTGTTCTTTATTTGAAAAAAAAGTTATATATTTTATAAGGATTATAAACACAATAAACTTATTATGGATTGACCTGAGAACTGCTTTCAAAAGTGGAATTATTTTTTGACTGTTGTTCACTTGCTGTTGACGGTGTTACATTTGACATGTTCCTAATTTTGTGTTGTATAAACGAAATCACTGTGTTGTCGTCAATGGTCTCTCCTCTCATTGAGAATACCTGTACTACATGGGCTATCAAAAATACTTCGGTTATTTAAATAAGAAAAATATATAAATGGTAATTTACTTATTATGGATTTCAGCAAATTCTCGTCAAGCATTAGAAGTCGTTGCTTAGCATTTGAACGTGCTATATTTTCCAACACATCTAAACCAAATACCAGTTCACTTAACCGGGACGTATAAATGCAGGCGTTCGGTATAAAAATTTTAGCTAAATCATGTTTGGATACGTAAACTCTACTGCCAGCATGCAATGGAATTTTAGCCTCTGCCGACTTATTTGTAAGTTTTTTGTTTTGGTTGTTGTTATTTGTATGTATATTTTTGACTGTAAAATAAGCACAATATAAATAATGTGATTAAACATTTATATAAAATTTTTGCATCAATTATGAAAATAAATAAAAACAAATTTATCAGCGGAATATGAAACCTTAAAATTGTATTTATTTAAATTATAATTTTTAAGTTCACAATATACATTTTATTTAAAATTTTCATAAATATTATCGCATTTACAGCCTCTAAATGTAATTCACGCAAGTTGATTGTACAGGCCTTGACCATGCTTCACACTTATAACTTCATTTCACTTCCAGTTTTTCAATTCACCAACTATTTTCGAGGCCGTTACTGGTGATAATTGCCTAAAATCACAATTAAAACAGTTTATTCAATTAAATGCACACCATTTTTAATTTAATAAAGTTTACTTCTCAAGCTGTCCAAATGCATTTGTTGTCACATGAAATTAGTTGCAATACTCATTTATCGATATTCGACAAAGTCGATGTATCCTTTTATTTATCGATAAGAAAATTACTCTACGCATTAAAAACGTATTTTCAAATTGGGAATATGCTGGCAAATTTAACCTATTATGACTTTTAAATTACTATATATATGATATATTTTAACACAGAAGTACAACAAATTAAAAATCATTCTCTGCACTTACCCCTATAATGGTTCTTAAGTAAAATTTAATAAAGCTTGGAAACATTGGTTTTTTAAATTTGGCAACTCTAAATGTCAGCGATGCCATGATTATTTGTTATAGTGCATCCGAAAAAGTTGCGTGTTTAAAGAATAAGATGTGAAATGTATTACTAAAACTGAAAATATTAAAGTTAAAAATAATAGTACTTAGATTTTTCAAACGTGTAAATCTTTCGTTTAATATGTTGTTGATATTGAATTGTATTTTTTAGAGTACAGTGTTACTTATTTACGTTGATTGCTAAAGCGTCCTAAATATTGTTTTAGAAATGTTTGCTGGAACATTTTTTTGCAGCTTTCTATATCACAATTCATGAAAAAAGATATTTGATGAATGTTATAGAAATGTTTTGACAATAATAAAAACACAAAATTGTAAAATTTTTGAATATTGTATATTAAGATTATTTTATATGTAAGATTTGGATAAGTTTTGCTACATATGTAAATGGAAATTCGTTTGCTTTTTTCAGAATATGGACCAGTTAATACTTCAAATGGCTTATTTTGTGCGGAAATTAACAAATTGCAACAGCGCAAACAAAAGTATGAGGATCTGGATGTATGCTTTACCAGAAGTGTTCGCGGGAACAATTTGCTAACTATCAACGGCAAGCCATACACATTGAATCGTCGAATAAAGGATGTTTGTTATTGGGAATGTGTAAAACTGCGATGCAAATATACAAAATGCACCGCGCGTGTCATTACGAAATGTGATCAGATTGCATCGTTGCGTGGAGATCATAACCATTTATAAATATGTGTAATTATTAGTGAATACTTGAAAATAAATTTAGTATGTTAGCAATAAGCGGTGTTGGAACGTGTTATGTGTATTGGAGACATTGATCTTCTAATTGCTGTGACTAACATACTTAAAACCTTACAGGTGTTAACAGATCTTGGATAGCAACAAATTTTCAATTTAAACGAAACAGACGTGGTGGCCTCAATCTACTTTATCATGGGTATATGTATACAGCGGAAAGAAGGTATAATTCCACAATAAACTGGGTGTGCAGTAAAAATAGTAGCCATACATTACGTTGTCCAGCGCGCTGCATCACAGCAGGTCAAAGTAGTATTAAACTTAGTCAAAGATGTCATAATCATTCACCAATTATTTGAAGGTAAGTTGTTTTATATATAATATGTATAAAAAGTGATGTATTTGGGTACATTAAGAAATAAATCAAAGTGAAATACTTTTTAAAAAGAAGTTTCAATAATGAAATTCATACAATTTGTTTTATGTGATATATATTTAATTTTTCTTAGTCCATTTATATTAGAAGGATTTTCAACACTGAACACTGAATTTCTAATACAAATATGTATTTATGCATTTTTGTTTTCAGCTTTTTCAATTAAAAATGCTCTCGTCATCGGTACGAAATATACAACTATAGAAAACTTTCGTTTTGTAATCGGATCACAGTCTCCGAGCAAATATTATTTGAAGTGTGCAAATTTTCGTAACAAATGTCGCGCTCGTGCTGTTATACGCAAGGATACATTGGCTTTAATTTTACGGCGGAAACATAATCACACAGTAGAACAGCAAAATTTTAAGAGAAAGTAATAATGAAGTAAATAAATAAGTTTGGTCTATTTAACTTGTAATAAGATATCTATAAGACTGCTTTGTGGCATCATCCTACCAAATAAACTGATATACATAAATAGAATAAAATACAAAATCAAACACTAATACATCAACATTTGTAACACATCTCTTTTCTACCTTTATTGTAACATCTATATTGTTTTATTTTAGCAGACAACAATCTTCCGGTGCGATATATACGCTCACGTCGAGGAACTCATCTCGTGCTACATGAATATAATACATATACCCCGAATGAAAAAGTTCGAGACGGACGACTTTCTCGAGATTGGAAATGCTCTATGTATCATAAGGCCAAATGTCGTGCCAGACTTGTAACAAAACACACATTATCCGGGGATGTAATCCATGTAACGTCAGCGAAACATACACATAAACCAATGTACACAACTGCTGAATTGGAATTGATGCAAAAACAAAATCTTTTAACACATCAACCGAAACGGGAGCATGAAATAACGGATGATGCACAATACCTAGAACCAACTCGTCCTATTAGCTCTTTGCAATGTTTGCCTCAATTACAGCCCTTACAGCAATTCCAGCCAATGCAATTACGAGCGCTCTATCTACCGCCCATAACAAATGTATCCCTTCTTCCGCCGCAATTTGATAAAATGCTGCCACGTTAATTTGAAAGAAAAACCAAGTTGATAAATAGTACAAAATAAAGAAGTCAATTATCAAAAACTCATTCATTGTAGATATATATTAATTTTGCCAAAAAAAAAAAATCAGAATGACCTTAAGTACATGTAACAGTAAACAGTTAAAGGCATCCCAATAACCACTATTCAATTCTTTGCAGATAACAAGTCATCCTTAAACTTAGCGAGCCTTTTTGCAGCCGGAACGAATACAGAGAATAAAGATGACGGTAGAGAAGAAAAAATATCATCATTGGTTCTAACTCAAAAGAAAATGAATCTTTGTTTTATACCAGGACAACGGGGTAAATCTTTGTTGTGTTTCAACCACTTTACATATGCCAAAAATAATGTATGTGGTAATACAACGTATTGGAATTGTCGCAGTCGACGTGTCGGTATGAAGCCATGCAACGCTCGCATCACAACAACGAAACAACCAAATGGTCTGTTCAGAGTATGCCTTACCAAACCTGAACACAATCATGAACCCTCTCTGCGCGTGCTGAAGAAGTTGAAAAGATCACTTTAAACCTTAATTAAAATAAAATAAGAAACTACAAATATAAATAATAAACATTCAGAAAATTGTATGTTCTTAAAGTTGTATTTCTTTTTAGAGTTTATTTATATGTATTTTAATTATTTTTGATAATTGTCAATTTCCACTAATAATTATATTTTTATTTATTTTTTTACCTCACCTCCAGAAGGCAGTGTTGCTATTTATTCGGCCACATCAAGAGGACGGGTGCAGCTCATATATGGCGGCCAACCATTCATCTTTGAGAAAATTTTGAAATTAGCCACTGGCGAGGAAAAGAAATTTTGGCGTTGTAATCAATGGTGGAACCAAAAATGTCGTTCACGTGTCTATACTATTAATGACATAGTTATGCCACTTAACCGCTACCATACGCATGAAGAAATCGTACGACGTAAAAAGCGTACACGTAGGATACCACCGATTGTCAGTGCACAACCAAAGAAGGATAAAAAAGTGGCGATAACAGAAAGTTCAAGCGTAGATGCGGTAGGAGTCACAACCACGGACCCAATCGATGTATCGGAATTAGGAATGCACTTAAAATATGAAGAAATCGTAGCAGATGTTACGGAAATAGAAGAACCTAATGTCGTCATAAAAAAAGATTTAAAAAAATAATTTCTGGAATATACATATATGCGTATGTAAACATACAATTACTCCAACTTTAACTTTAAAATTTTGAAGGAAATGTACTATATTGAGTATATAAAAATATTGCTTTTTTCTAAAGCCGATTTAAAATAGCTTTTTGAATAAAATCTATAACTACTTTATAGCAAATAAGTTTTTTTTTTACAAGTTTTGCCGCTCAGGTGCAACATCATTAAACCAAGCAAACAAAATTTTCCTACAACTAATTCATTTTAAACTTGTGTATTTTTCATTTTAGTACCCATTGCAATACCTAAAGCTGGCAGTCAAAACTTTTACTTCACAGCTGGACAAAGGAAATCCGTTAAACTCGTATATGGAGGCTATCAATATGTCAAGTTCATGGAAAATTCCAAAGGTATTAAGTGGATTTGTTCTACACGATCTACCACCAAATGCAGGGCAAGAGTACGTACAACAAAAAATTCGCAACTCGAGGTGCTCCATGCTAAACACAATCATTCTTTTATACAAAAAAAATATCCACGAAAAATGGAAAAAGATAATAAGTCTACTATCGAACACATATTTCTGCCCAATGTCTCTCCAAATTAGATTCGTTAAAACAAGCTGTAGAATACAAATTAATACAGCTAATATGAGAAAAAGTGTTTGCAATCCTTGTTGAAAACGTATTTTCGACGAATAATTACAAAAAAAAAAAAAAAACGGATATATGTATTTCATTATAGCAAAATTGCAACAAATGTGGATATATTTTCAATTTTCCACGGTTGATGGTAAAAATTTTGTCATCAAAGCCGTTAAATTTTAAATAGACACCCGTCTGTTGTTGCATCCGTTATCTACTCCCATCTGTTACCTGGTCCTCTGTACAACGAATCCCACCCAGCTAACGTCACTCTGCTTTTGATCCGACCCCGTCGAAACTACACGTTTCTGTGCCTCCGGTTTCATGACTTCGATGACAATCAATTTGAACTTTACCATCCTACCGAAGTTTAGTTAACCGCTACAACTTTGTTTTGTCATTATCAATGGATAGATAATGGTATTGTGATATTATTAAACACTACGGAATAGATTAGAAAATTATTCTGGTTTTCCGATAGATATTTCTAAAAGTAATACATTGATATATTTCAGACAGTTACTATTTTCTAATATTAGTGAGCAAGAGTTGCAAGAATAGTGAATAAATAAAAATATATGGGAATATTTTAAGATTTATTGAAAATAGAAAAATAATTTTATTTCAAAATTATCTAATGAGCTTTATCAAAACAATCTTCACACATCCAAACACCACCGGGACACTGTGGACAATACGTGGTGATTTTGGAGAGAGCTGCATGGTTTTTATGTGTTCTCTTCAAGCAAGTAACACACTTTCCAAACATACGGGGCTTACCAATTTTAGTTAAGTGATGGTTATTCCCCGACGTTTTCAAAATTGTTTCGCCAGTTTTAATTTCCGAATATGATGATTTAACGACAGGCATACCATCAACTGTATATATCGTCAAAGATTTGTATGGCTTTTTATCTAAAGTGTTTTTTTGCTTCGATTGTTGATGTTGTTGTGGCATTACAACTTGAGAAATCATAGTTCGCTTTTTAACTGAAAAGACAATAATAAATATTAATGATATAAAAAATAGATTTATCACTAGTTGGAAAGTGTTAAAGTAAAATACACATATTTTATTGCTGTTATTTTAAACTTTATTTCATGAAAATACGTTGCTGTACGCAAAAGTGCACATTAAACCTGCTTGAATATTATGGGGCTACAACTAAGTGGATTTTTTGCAGGATGTGTATGTATACCACGCAGAGAGACTACCATTTTGCCACGAGTTTTTATATTTGCACGACAACGAAATTTTGAGTACGCCGAACACCGCCAGTGAACTACACAAGTGTTACCGTTCTCCGAATGCATCGAATATGTGTAACCATTGTAGACTAATTGACCTCTGTAATTATACTTTAGAGGCGTAACAATTCCTGCGTACATGTTAGAGATGGAAGATGTCGCTAAAATATGAAAATATTGAATATTATATGATATGAGCGTAATAAATTTTGGGTATGAAAACACTTTAATTGCCGTCGCTTAAAATAACTGAATATGTTTATATTATTCTCACACTCTCTTAAAGAAACAACAGATTAAGTTTAGTAACGAACAACGAACGTTTTTATGCTTTTTGCATTTATGAAAATTATTCACACCACGGATATTGCTATTTAAAATTGCAACTACGCTCCAGCTTGCGTTGCTCATAAACATACTTAAGTGTGCCTTTTTTACGTCGCTCTCGAAGGATAGGATGATTGTGGGATTCGTCCACAATCGAAACACGATCTCCGGCAGGGTTAGTTCGAACTCTTGCTCTACATCTGTAATTTTAAATGTATGAAAATATATAAATGCATACATTTCAATGTGAGCAATTATAGTTTATACTGTTTTATACACACTTTAAGGGACGAAATTGAACACAGCGCCAGTAAATTGTGCAGCCACGTATTCGATGCCGTGAATAAGGAAAACCATCCAATACTAGTTGGTAAGTTCCTTTTAAACTTGAACGATAGTTCACTCGATTCTGAGCCACATCGTTATCACAAGGTTCTTCGAAAGCTTCGTTATCTCCTAGCCTTGGCGACGTGTCTGTAATTTATTTATAACTTTGTTAAATATTTGCGTTACTATTTTCTTATTATTAAATAACCAACAAAATTAGTCTCAATTTCATAGGATATTATATGAATCAAATCTTAGTTGTTCTCAATTTAACCTGAATATGTAACTCTATATTTTATGTGGATAATATCAATACAACATAAAAACTAGGTGTCAAATTTATTATTTATTAACATAATTGATGTTTCGATGAGCTCATCTCCCGCTTCTTGTTGCACTCGTATGGGCAAGTGATAAGTCCGACGATTTGGTTTTAGTTCAACACTTCCTCTGCTTATATTATAACCTAGACCGTTCCCTCCACCATTGTTAAGTTCAACCATACGGTTTCGTTCAATCATCTTTTCGATTTTTTCTGTGTGAGGCGGATGATTATGCAATCCACCAGTTTCAGACTTTAATTTTCCATCTTCCAGCACACAACGAGCACGGCACCGTTCTGATTGTACTTTCTTTGAGTAATTATGGCAACGCCAGTATTCCTTGCTATTTTTCCGACTGTGGCAGTTATACATAAAGTTGCGTAGCACTAAACAAGGTGTAGCCCAGGGACTGACAATAAACATTAATTCTGTATCTGCAACAAAAGAAATCAGAAAATACAAATATTTACGTCAAAATATGATTTTAGTATAAGTATATGAAAAAAATTCTAAGAATAATAATTATGAATATTCTTATATATACCACAGTAACTTATTTTTTTTAGGTTTTATTTACCGTATAGGCTTTATTTAAAATTTAGTTACAATTAGACGTAATTTTATTCTGGTTGATAATTAGGCCAAACTGTTGTGGCTGCTCGTACTGCTGGTGTCGGGACAAATAGTTTAAACTCTTTGCCACTTTTCTGTGCACAGATCTCGATGTTGGAAACATTCATGAATTCTTCAAGTTTCGGGTCTTCAGGTTTAATTTCGATATACTCGCTGAGATCTTCCTCTATTTTATATAAAGGCCGTTGACCTATACGTTGTACATGATCCTCATGATTGTGGGAACGTCGCGCAGCAACTAATTTATTCTTTTTCGTAATGACGACAGCTTTGCAACGTAACTTTAACAGATCTACGCACCGCCATGTAGTTTGTCCATTTGCCTGAGTTAACTTCTTGTTGTATATGAATCCGTTATAAACTAACTGGGCATATTTTTTCTGACTTCGTATGAATTTCACTTCATCTTCACCTGTGTAACAATGACAATAATATTGAATTATATGATAAAAAAAAAGTCAGTACATTCATAAGAAATAATTTTATAACAATTTAGGAATGAAAAGACGTTCACAAATTGCAACTGCAAACATTTTTATTCATTTATTATAGAATAACTTATAAAAACTGGCAGGTATTTTCGTGTACTGTTCAAAATTTTAATAGGCATCTTGATATCTAGATGAATGCTTTAAAATGTGTGAATTATATTTTAAACAGATTATATTTAATTAACTTACCTGATATCAAGGTAAGGGGCCGTCACTAACCAGAAATTTTGCTGACAGCATTAATAATACTATCTTGAGATCGTTGATGTATATTTTTTTGGGATTTAATCTAGGACATTGATGGTTTAGGTATAAAGAACTGCAATGAATTACAACTGTCATGAATATAAATTGTTTAAAAATCAAAGCCATGTCGAAATTGGACTTACTGACCCCTTTAAATACAATCCTTTGAGTTACTCTATATGTCTCATATATATTTAACACGAAATAATGCACATAGTTGTGTATATTTATTTAAATGCATGTTTTTATTATACCTTTTTCTAGTTTTTGAACCCACAAACTACTTACAACAGATTTTTCCAATGCACTGAAATCGGTAGGCACATACGCGTCCTGAGCATCGACAATTTATGTGTTAAGTTAATTTATACGATGTTGTAGAAAGCTATCGCAATTGGATTTTTAATAATTATCATCATATTATTTAATTACTTTTACGAAAATAATTATTATTATTACAAAACTAATATTTTCGACTAGAAAACACAAAAATCACAAAATACACCTAAGAACTCTCTTGGGTTGCCATGGTACATAGAGTTGCTTCGTAACCTGTAAACCTTAGTATCATTATCAATTTCGATTATTAAAAATTATTATAATAAATGAAAAGAACCAAAACAACAATTCCCAATGCATGACCCGAAAAATTAATAATACCTATTTTACATTTCTGTATTAAGAATAAATAATATTATACATATATAAGATATGGTAATTTGGATTAATCGAAGAGCGTGTCACACTGCGATCAAACGAGGAGACTTTGTTGCCTACCGGCATTTCTTCTTTGACAATGTACAATGCATTTACCTTTACCTTCCACGAAAACGGTTAAATTAAACTAAAATAATTTAACATGAGCTTCTTAAATATAATTTTTAATTATTTAAAAGGAATTTTTTCTCACTGGTAAATATTATTTGCATAAACAATTTAAGGTGGAAATTTTTGTCAGAAATAGTTTTTTTTTTTAAACTGCCATTTTGTAAAAAAACCTTTATTTTGCTTATTCCTCAAATTTTCTTTACCAGATTTAACGTTACTTTAACGAAATCTATTTTGTTTTTAATATCAAAGGATCACGTTCAGAGATAAACTAGTCACCGCACAACTTCTTTTTTAAAAGGAGCTCCAGGAGATCAGCTGTAGTTCCTTTCCAACAGTCCTAAAATATAGTTAAAGGATACCATAATATGGGTACAAAATTTGGGATAAATAAACTTAAACATTTTATTTAAAAAAAAGGGCTTTTTGGCTTTTTAATCTGACCCCTTAAAAGTTTTATTGAAATTTTAAACAATAAAAGTAACTTCGCTTTTATATACATATAATATTGTCTTTAATACTTATAAATGTTATTAACATCGGTTTTCTGCTTGAGACGATTGTCTCATGTCTCTAATAATATGTTCAGACCGACACTTAATCACACGATTTCGGCTGCTGAGTGATTTATCCCACTAATCTTATAAATTTATCAAGATTTCGCCATACAAAAATGACAGTTCAAAATCACTTCATCGGAATGATTTGAAACTGATCCACGCTAAATCTCTCTGTGCGACTCTGATTTTGTGTCATTTGTTTGGCAGCATTGGAAATCTATTACATTATCACAGCTAATTTAAACACTACAAAGGGAAAAAATGTAAACAAATTTTTTTTAACAGCAATGAATCTAATTTCACCTGAAAATCGACTTTGCAAATGAAAAAATGATTCCATTATTTCCACAATATGGAAAATATTTCAAAGAATACCGCTTTTATTACAAAATACTATATGACAATTTTTTATTTTCATAAATATTGAGCGATGTGAACTCTTGAATGCCAAAAACAGCTGTTTTTTAATCTTTCCAACGGCAGTAAGAACACTGATGGGTTATGAAATGCTTAAATGTAATCTAATCTTTTAAATTTTCGGTTTGAAAATGGTATAATTGTCACAATCGTAATTTAGTTATTCTGTTAGTCAGGAGTCTCATTTTGGTATTTCTTGGAATATATTTCTAAAATAGCACTTTTATCTATCCTTGCATTTCGTTAATGGGTTGTAATTCTTATTTTTCTCAATTTACAAGATAAAATAAATAAATTCTGTTACGAAATATTTATTAAGGGGAAAGATAATTAGAAGATAAACTATTAAAAAATATGAATCTCTTTGAACTTTTTGTTTCTGATAGTAATTCCGACCTGGGCTCCATCTTGTATCTCGATTCGGAAATGTATTCTATTCGGATCTATTTTATAATTATATGAAAGTTGCACCACACTGTGCCAGAATAAATACGTACATTTTTTGTTTTTGCTTTCTATAACTCAAAAGCTAACGAATATTTTATTTGAAAATTGGCTTGAAAATCGAGTAGATTTTTGCGTCGAATACGCCTTGCGTTCCTGCCGCGTCGCAGCGATTGAGACTCGAACACCCCCCTACTTTCATTCCTTTCTCCAGTAATCAGTAATAAATATGAAATTCCCATCATTGCAAGCGTTTTACACAATCTAAATTTTTTCTTCTATGCAACTTATTTCGAAGTGTTGAAACAAAATACAAAAAAAAAAAAATTGGATTTTACATGCCAACAAAAATTTCCATTTCTAACTTGAAAAATTAGCGACGTTCGAGCAAGCAATAACTGCAGCAATATTGAGTGTTGTTTTTCTGCACTTATATCGCAATATTTTTGCACCGAATATGATGCCTTGAGCTACTGCCGCAGTGATTGAGACTTGAACATCCCCATTTTGTTTACATAGGTTTAAAATTCTATTTTCCAGTAAGCGCGCGTAATTATCGCAGTACAAAAATATAGCACCAAGTATTCCGGTAATCAAGAAGGTTGAACCTTCAACCCAAAGTTTATCTTTTAATAACAGTTTGTCAAAGTGATGGCAACAGATTCGGCAATAATGTATCGCCATTGTTTGATAAACAAACAACATCCGACATCAATTTCAAATTAGAAGTCTTCACACCGGTCCCTTTATATGTGTACAATTCATTTTTTAAGTACATATTTAATATAACTCAAAGAAAATACTTAAGTAAAGGTTAGATCAATCCGATTTGCAAAACAAAATTCATGTAAAAATAGGCATGAAAACCACTAATAATACTAGAATAAAATTTAATACGTATTAAATATGTAAATATATTTATCAAGTAATTTCTCATAAAATATAATTCAAATTTTAAAGACTTACCGTAAATACTTCTTGATATCGTTATTTTTAATTTCCATAATCATTTCAACACTACAACTCTCCTTATAATATTCACAAAATTTCACACTTTTCACAAAATTCTTACACTAGATAAGAGTAATCGCGATCGTTCCAATTCTTCACAAAATCTTGCACTTGATAAGAGTTTAAACAGGAATCACGACCGTTCAAACTATTCATATAATTTTGCAATGGATAAAAATATAAAACCCGAATTACGACCGTTGTATCGTCAATTTGAAAATACAATTTTTTAACAAATAAAATCGAAATCTTTGGAAAATACGTATAAAATATATAAATATTAAAGTAAATATTTTGTTGGTGAAAGATCATCTTAATGAAGGCATATTTACGGTTCGAATATGAACCAACCCTCTTTAAGCAGACTTTACACAACGTGGAAATAAATGTAATTGAACCATTAACTAAATGTTGACTGTACACAGAACAATTTCAATATGTGGATATAAACAATCCAGAATACTCAGTTAATAGTTCATTTGCAGTTATACCACTTTCTTACATTCTAGAAACGAAATGTATTTTTAACCAACCTTGTGCGTCACTGTTTCCTTGGTCCGCCACATCCACGTACGAGGTGTCGGTGAATGATGATTGTTGCTGTTTCACCAAAGCTTTTGATGTTGTTGCATTTACACCACCACCTGAACCTGTTCCAGTTTGTACCGTCGTCGCACCTGCAGGTGTATCGTCATTTTCGGTAAAGTAGCTTTCGTCATATCTAAGCTCTCCATAAGAATCATCTTCTACATAAGTGGTTTCATTTTCGCCTCCATCTACATCACCAGCATCTTCTGCATAGTCTGGTTCCGATTTCGTAGGTAACTCTATTGGCAAGTCTATATATTCCGGCTCACTTTGTTGTTGCTGTACTTGTGTTTTAGTCTCAGGAGCAGGGGCAGCAACAACAGCTGTTTGCACAGTTATTTGTTGGGTTCCGGTCGACACATCAGTTGTATCTAGCGGATCAATTGTACTTTTGGTGCGTTTAATGTGGGGCCCACTTCCAACACTTCGCGCTGGTCGCTTATGCGTAACAACGGTTGTAGTAGTGGCGGTGGTGGTGGTTGCGATTTGTTGAGGTGCTATATGCGTTTGACTTTGTGTCTGCAAATGTTGTGTTTGCGGTTGAGCAACAACTTGCTGCGCTGCAGGAGCCGCCGTAGTTTGTATGACAATCTGAGTTTGCTTGTCATCTCCAGAATCATCAACAGATTCTATTTTAAACGATCGAGATGTCGATGTTCGTTGGCGAACTCGAGGCGAAGATATCTGTTGAATTTGAGGTGAAGGTGTGGAAGGTTCCGCTGGCGATTGCGATGGTGGAGGATCGCTCTATTAAAGAAGAATATTATTATTATATTACATAGTAATGTGGGGAGAAGTACACATTGTTCCAATTTTTTGCTTCCACAAGCATCTTCATATTACATTCACTTTCAACTTTGGGGTGGGTACAGTTTCGTGCAGATACATACACAAACACAAATGTACACATTTGTATTATATGTATACATATTTATATAAAAATGGCGCAAAAACAAAAGCGTACCATGAACATATAGCATTTCTTGTGTGCACTCCATACTTTAATGTTACAAACATTTGATACTTACATCTGTTAAGCCTTTTATTTGAAGAGCTTCTGCTGTACTAATAAACGCAGGTAAAGCTTCTTGCTTTACATTTACTTCTCCACAGTACATAAATTGGATAAGATCTTTTAATGCTGTATGAGATACATCTTTGAGAAAAACTAAAAAAAAAAAAAAATTAATACTAATACTTCCTTTAATAGTGAAATTTCACACTCACCGAAAGCATGTTGATTGGCCGGCATTTGTGTGAACATTTTGCGAAAATAGGGTGAGCATACAGACAAAACTAAACGGTGCGCTTTGACAAATTGCCCTTCCGCCGCTAGCGTCACGTCCACCAGGTCACCGCGGCAAAGCGATTCATGAAAACCAGCCGACAAATTACTGTTGAAATTATTCCAACAAAGCGAGAATTGCTCGTCGTCCGCCATGTTGGCTGACACAATACTAGTGAATTCGTCGTCTGATCCGATGTGTTTGCTGACACAAATCGATAAATTTGTGTATGTACCAAGTACTGAAAATTCTAGAAAACATTCAATTTAAATATTACAATCACAAATTAAATATTCAATTCATTGAAAGATACATTGTTTATTCAAAAATAAAACCAGTTTTTCTTTACCAAAAAAAAACTGGGAAATTATTTTTGCCGCAGATAAAATTTCAATGAATCCGTGGTACTATCTTCAAACTTACAATTTATTACAACTGTTTTCAGCAAATTTGCAGAACTACTCTAACTTTGGGTTCACTTTAAACTATTTTCTTTCTAAAATAGAAATCGTAGTAACAACAGCAATAGTTTCACGCCAGACACAAACCGTTCTCGGTCAAATTACGAATGAAATCCAATTTCGACCAAACGCTTGGCGTTGTGTGCGTTTCATGGAAGAATTACATTTCCGTAATTGAAAATTTTAGAAGCTTCATTTTGATTGGTTAATGTAAATATCAGGGTTGCATTGCATGTTGCCAGATTAATGTGTTATTAATTATTTAAGCATGCAAATAGAATTTTAAATATTTTATGTAGTATTTTCTGTTTTCGTATTTATACACAAATATATAGTTAATATAGTATAAAAAAGCACACATACTTTTAAAGAGGAAATGTGGTTTTTCAATTTTCGAAATGAATGTTTAAACAGTCAGCTAAATTTTACAAAAATCCAATAAGTATTTTAATAGTTTACCTCGGAGAAACATTAAGAGAGTTAAGTGTTAATGGATTTGAAGAGTTCCTCTCAAATCATCAACAGCTATTAATAAATTATATATTACAATTATTAGTAAGTTTGGTAACCGAGCAATTTTGAGTAATCACCATTAAATTTTACTTCACTTATTTCGAGACTGTGAAATAATTGATAGGTCACATCCGATATGAAACCGCAATTTTCATTTCCACACATTTAGTTTTTGATTTAGTTTAATAAAGGTATATTTTTTTAAGTCTTTTATATCTAAAGAAAATTAATTTAATTTTAACGTGAGTAAAGTGGGGCTTGTATGAAATATGTATGTACATATAGGGAGATCTTTGAGTACGTACTTTTAGTTGAGCAATGTATGAAAAAACGACATGATTTTAGCAAAATCATTTCTTTCATTGCAAATAAAACAACGAGACTGTTGCGATAATAAAGATTTTCTTTATGCAAAATAATATTTATTAAATATTTGCTCGTTTACGTCCAATAGTATTTACACTTTTTTCTTACATAAGTCCATAAATAAGTACATAAACATTTGTTCTTAATTCTATGTGATTATGTCTATAGTATATGTATATGTATGTCTGCATATCTCCTACCATACATTGTATCTAAAATATTAGAAATTCTTTAACAAGGAGAAAAGTTATGCTCATAATGAAAATTAGTGAATGTGTATGCATGATAACAATTTAGATGATCGATTTAGGAATTTGCATTATTTTAAATTTGCAATCGTATGGCGTGCTACGTAAAGTTCGGTTCGGTATGTATGTGTACTTGTAACATCTACATTATTTTCACTTATTACGTATATACATATGTAAAATTTAATACTACAACTTCTTCTTTGGCGCCAGATCCCAGATCGGATTAAGCTTTACGTTTAAGGCCCACCATACAGAGTGTAAAGAATATAACTATCCATACTGACATTACTATGAATCCATTGTACACTTGCCAATTTGTTATTGACCAGCCTTTCTCTATAATGTTTCGTGCTGATATAGATGGGATCGTAAAAGGAAAGAATAAAACAATGTCTTGTAGAGATTTCGGCATTCCTTCCAGTGGCCATAGCAAACCTTGAAATTGAAAAAATTTAAATAATTATTAAAATACATAGCTAAGTCTATGTACATACATATGTATGTATAGGAGTGGATAAATATTCTAGTACTCACCACAAAGAATTATCATTGGATAAAATGCACCAGTGGCCACAAAATTCGCTTCTGTGTGCGATTTACAATACACCGATATGAGCAAACCTTGAAATAGTAGTTTTAGTTTTAAAATATTAAAAAATATACAACAACATAAAATAAGTGGGGTTTGCTTACCGAAAAGCATTCCACAAAAGGCTGTCATTGTCAATAGACCAATTAGTGTTGCTGTATCACCTTTGTTGTAAGTGTCAAATACCAATCCAATATACATTATAACCTCAAAAGATTGGAATGCCATTATAATGAGCTGTGTGAGTAGATGCGCCCACAGCATTTCCATGGCCGATACTCCAGCCACCAGTGTTCGATCCCACACACCGTCCATACGCTCCGAAATGAAGACGGCGGCTGTCATCAATGTAGCCAAAAAGAACACCATACTGACCATACAAAGAAATTTATATATACTTGGTAATTAGCAATATAATGTTGCAGCTAAAAGTTTAAGCTTTGTCGCATTGATAAATAAAGCTTAAAGACTTACGTCATGACAACACCAGGCGCAACATATTGCTGAAATTCTATATCAAATGAACCGTAAACGGGTTCCTGAAATTGTATAGGAATATTTCCCAAGCCAGCTGGTAGATTGCAGTCAGCTAACACGTTTTTCACAAAAGAACCAAAACTATCACGTAATTTGCGTTCAATGAAGTATCCAATTTGTTGATCTTTCATACAAAAAATTTAATAAATTAAAGAAAAAAAAAATACATATTATTTATCAGGTGTAGTAAGGTTGTCAAAATAGAGTAAATAAATATGTAAATAATTCAAAAATAATATTTTGAGAAGAGCATCTAATATGTATGTGTTTAGAGTCGCGTCTGCTGAAAGCTATTTACCTGTCATATCAATGTGAACACTAAGAACGGAGTTTTCCACTGCGCCGTCATCCGCGTAACGTCCCTCCTCCATTCGCACCCTCATTGATTCGGAGAAATTGCTGGGGAACATGATATATCCGAGGACTTCAGTGCGCTTGGATGCATTATAAGCTTCTTCCTCTGTTTTGTAGTATACCTGAGCAAATATTGATATATGTATTTGTGTGTTCGTTAATTGCTTTTTATTTTTGAAAATATTATTTGTGTATTTAGCTAATTTTTCCAACTTTTGTTTGAAGTTTAATAAAAATATATGTAGATAAATACATACTCTCTCAGCGATGTCATCACCCAACTCGGTTATATAACGACACGATATCTTTTTAAATTCGCACGTGTCATTGTGATTAAAAACAGTCCTTAAATTCTGATCAAAACATGTTGCATAATCATTTACTTCACCACTGACAATACCGAGTTTTAGATTTGTTGGTGTTTTGCCTATGGCTAAATAAAAGCAGGTGAGCTGGATTAGTGGGAAGAGCAGCATAAATATTATTCCACTGAAAATAGGACATAAAATTAGAATTAAAAACCGAACTTCTTAAATACTATTAAATATAGATATACATATCGTCAGCTGAAATGCAAAATAACGTATCATCAAAAAATTCTAAGCTTAGAGTCTTTTCGATTACGCTTCACTACTTCAAATTACATACATAATATTACAAATGTTCGACATTTTCAGGTTCTGCGGTCAGATATAAACAAGTTTTAATAAATATAAAAATTTTGGTTCACTCATGTTCCATTCTATTTCGTGTTTCATTCATGCCACTGTAACTTTCCGAAAATGTTGTTACGTTATTACGCATTTCAAGGACGATATGTAGGTTATTTCCACTTACGATGGCTGTCGGAAGAGTTGAACAAAATTTTTTGTCATCAAAGCTTTAATGCGGCCGCGCGTCGTGAAAAATATTCGCTTTCTATTATCGGTTTCTTGCTCTCGACAATGGCCGCCTTGATCAGTTCGTTGCGTTTTGTTGTCGTTCTCATCGACTGGAAGCTTTTTGCATATATCGTTGGGTTCTGGAGAGGTTGCATCGATTACTTCCACAGAATGCATAATTGCAGGCGGTTGGGAGGTGTTAATCGTGTTGGGCTGCACTACGTCTGAGTCACCTTGTTTTTGGCTCAATATTAGAAAAGCATCCTCAATAGAGTTGCACTCAAATTTTATCATTATATTTATTGGAGTATCTTCCGCCAATAGTACACCATTTCGCATTAATCCGATCTAAAACGAAGTTTATTTATATAATATATAATAATATATAAAATATCTATACCGTTAAAGGTTTACATATACTTACGCAATTGGCTTTTTTGGCCTCTTCTATATAATGTGTAGTAATGATCACAGCCATTTTGCTATTCCTAGTGCTTTCCACAAGAAAGTCCCATATTCTAGTGTAAAAAATTACATAATTATGAAAAAAATGTAAGGAAGAGGTAAATTTAGGTTCAGCCGAATATTATATATTTTCGAAATTTCTAAAATTAAAATGAAGAGATGTGTATAGTATTTTAGACTTTTAGACAAATTAAAGCCGCATAGTTTCTGTTCAATTTGTAGCTTATTTTGATACACAATTAAAACATTTTCTTTCTCGACTACTTATATTTGAATATAAATTATTATAGCAATGTACTCAGTGACGATATACAATATTTGAAATATATAATATGTACATGGTATAATTATCTTACTAAAATACTTACTTTTCCCGTAGCATGGGATCTAAACCCACTGTCGGTTCGTCTAGTATCAATAATTCTGGTTCGTGTATCATGGCGCATGCAAATGAGACTCGTCGCTGTTGGCCACCGCTGCAATTCTTCACAAGCTGCCTTGGTGGTGGTAGTTGCAACAGTGAGCGTAGTATTTTGAATTTCTCCCGAATCTGTTCTTCCTTCAAACCATAAATACGTCCAAAATAGAAGATAGTTTCTTTTACCGTCATCTCATCGACAAGAGCGATTTCCTGTTTAATAAACGTATAAAAAATTATAAAACAAGTCAGAAAGAGCTAAATTCGTGTATAACCGAATAATTTATGCTCTTGCAACTTGCAAGGATTAAAGTCAGGAAAGTGCCTCAAGGCTTGTTAGTAATATGGGCGAGTTTTCACCCGATCATTCTAAGCCCAAAGACGTACCGTTATAGGAAAAATACGCTCTCTCAATTTTATTAAAATAACTCACATATTGGTCGATATATGCGATATAAAGTTACCCGAAAGTTCCAAAATCTTAAAATTAGGTATATGGGGGTTAAGGGAAGCATTGAATCGATTGAAGCCATTTTTAATACACAGCCATACTACCATCAGGAAAAGATTCTCTATGAATTTTAAATATAGTACATATATACCTCACACCGATATTTTCGGTAAAAAGGAACTGGGGTATAAATATTCGGCTTGAATTGAGACTTGTACAAGGCAATTTTTAAGCAGGCAAGCTTTGCACAGGCAAAGTTGTATCCCCTTATATAAATTGCTTCTAGATTTGTAAGTAAAC